AAATCGCTAAGGGATGGGCAGTCACTGAAAGGTCTGGTGGCTGCACCCACCTCATTTTCATACACACACAGGTCCCACTTTGATCTAAAACAGGTCTAGGCATTTATTAATTCAAAATATTTTATCCCACCTTCCTCCTTAAAACGGATCCAAGGTGGCTCCCATTATTAAAAGACAACATTGAGTATACAAATACCGCACGGAAAAAAAAAACATTAGCAACACCAAGCCATATTAAAAGCAGTGAAGTATAAGAATCCATTTAAAACCTCACTCCGGCAGCCAGTCCCTGAGGGAAAGCTTGCCTGAAGAGAAAGGTCTTTGCCTGCTTGTGGAAGGAGAGCAAAGATGGGGCCATGCTGGCTTCCAGTGGGAGGGAGTTCCAGAGTCTGGGAGCAGCCACAGAGAAAGCCCTCTCCTGTATGATTACTTGGAACGCCCAAAAAAGGTTGTTATGTGGTCCCTTGAAGGCTCCTGAGAATGTGATTGGCCTCTGTTAGCCTCATAAATAATCTCAGGGGATGGAGAAGCAGTCCATGAGAATCCTGACCAGCCACTGCTACATAACTGTATTGCTGCAAATGAAGAAGTTTGTGGGGTAAACAGCAGTGGGTTGTTCTGAGACATAGGTGGGCTCTGTTCAGTTCTTCTACTCAAAAACAAACCTTGGCCTCAGAATCCTTTGCTTCTAAGCATAGGCCTTTCAGATTCATTCATTCATTCATTCATTCATTATCTCGCTCCCATTAGTGTCAGCACTACTCTGGGCAAGCTATAACTCGTGAAATAGAAAACAAAAATAAAAATAGACATATTAAAACAAACAGCAAAGACCCTAAAAAAACAGATGGCACCGACTAATCCCAGAGTGGATGGAGGAAAAGAGGAGAGGGAAGTGGAGTAGGGGAAAGAGGGGGGGAAAGGGGAGGGAGAAAGGTGGTTAGCTGGGGTTGATGTGGAAAGGCTCCCCAGAAAGCAACAGCTTTAATTGCTTCCTCAAAGTCTACAGGGAGGAGGCTAGGCAGAGCTCCTCTGGAAGCTGGTTCCACAAAGTTGGAGCCACTGCAAAGAAGGCCCTACCTCTTGTAGAAGATTTATGGGCCTCCCTCGGAGTGGCCACCCAGAGCAGCCTTGAATGGGATAATATTGTAAGTCAGGCAGATGACATTAAGGAGAGACGCTCCAACAAGTAACAGGGGGCCAAACCATGGAGTGCTTTGTATGTGAGTATCAAAACCTTGAACCTTATCCAGGACACCATGGGCAACCAGTGGAGGCCAGCCAAAAACCGGATGTGGTCAAATTTACTTGCACCAACCACCAGTCTGGCTGCCGCATTCTGGACCCTCTGAACTCTCCGGATCAGGTTCACGGGGAGCCCCATGTAGAGGGCATTGCAGTAGTCAATCCAGGAGATGACCAGGGCCTGCACCAAAGTCCTGAGGGAGTCCTCATCTAGGTAGGGGCGAAGTTGGGCAATTAGCCTAAACTGGTTGAAGGCTGATCTGGACATGACTGCAATCTGGGATGCCCAAGAGAGAGCCGGGTCCAGAGCAACGTCCAAGTTGTGGCACTTGGGCTCTAAACTGGAGGGGAGTACCATCCAGCCTAGGGACCATCCCCACCCAACCTATCGGAGGCCCGTCCCCCCAGTAACAAAAATCTCTGTTTTGCCTGGTTTCAGTTTCAGCCTGTTAGCCCTGGTCCATTCCAGGACTACAGCCAGGCCACGCTCCAGCGTCTGGACAGCATCCACTGCAGAGGTGGCAAGGGAGATAGAGAATTACTCCAAAACTCCTGATGACCTCCCCCAGCAGCTTAACAGCATTGGGGAGAGTGCCGATCGCTGAGGAACTCCATACTGAAGGGTCCAGGGTGCCGACACCTCCTCCCCTCGCTGAACTCTCTGGACACGATCCTCAAGGAAGGATCAAAGCCAGCTCAAGGCTAAGCCCCCAATCTCAGCCTGACAGAGCCTGTCCAGGAAGATACCATGGTCAAGGGTATGCAAAGCTGCTGAGAGATCTAGGAGTACCAACAGGTCTGCGTTCTCTTCCTCAAGGAGGTCATGGATCAGGTGGAACTTATTATTATTAGCAGACCTGACATTAATCAGCCAGAGGGTGAGATTGGAGGCAGCAGCCGAGCTGGTACCCATGTTGGGGAATGGCAAGGTCAGAGCACGTGACAGGCACCACTTGCCTGGCACATGGTCTTCTGTAATGACAGGCCAAAAAACCCCACAGCGGACTTTCTTCGGCCCAACACCACCTGGATGGCACCATTGTTCATTGAGACAAGACTTGCACCCACACCAACCCAAACCTACAGGGAGGAAAAACCAAAAACCAAGATAAATAGATATACATGAAACCAACTGCCAGGTTGCACCAAACCATCTTGCGATTTCAACAGAAACCCGGAGATCTGAGAAGGCTGCCCTGATTTACACGGCGAGAAAGCAGTTAAGACCAAGGCAGCTGACTAAATGAAAAAAAAAAAGAAAGAAATGAAGGGCAGTTACATATGTTCGTACTTTCTATGGCAGAGAGACAGGAGAAAGAAGTAAGTCCTGTTGACTAAATGGAAAAAAAAAGGGGCAATTACATATGTTCGTACTTTCTATGGCACAGAGACAGGAGAAAGAAGTAAGTCCTGTTGTTCCTGGACAACGATAAGAAAAGAAGGGGAGCATCGGAAACAATATAGACTATTAACATAATTGTAAACCAGCCACTTGTAAACAATCACACACAAAAAGGCTCCAGAAGACGAGAAGGGAGGATTTACAACAGGGATAAACAAACTTGTTTATATATACTGAGCGACCTATTCCTGAAGGGGAGGTTGTTAATCTGTCAAAGGCTGCATGTCTAATGATGAACAGGATTTAAAAGCAGATAAGCTCACCCCTTTTCTAATTCTTCCCACTACTCTCTTTTCTCTTTCCACCTCTCCATCTAATTGAAAGCTTGGCTTGAATGAATGACTGTTACATAAATTAGGCCACAGAACGTCAAGCTGAGGGTGGGTTGTGACCTGCTTCACTGGATAAAAACGGGAGACTTTGTAGTGCATGTATTGGTGACTTTAGTAAGCCTGTCTTGTAGGAGTTAGGAGCCTGAAAGTGCAGGATGCCATTCTGACAAGAGATGAATCTTAAAGCTAAAATGACACTGGCATCAAGAAGTCTTGGCTTCAGAAGTCCTGGAAGTTACTCACCCAGCATATAATCCTGGTAGGCCTTGAACCGCTCGTAAAAAAGGAGGTTGTTTGTCTGGAAGATGTCTGGAAGCCGCGTATTCCCCTCTGGCTCAACTCTTTGCAAGGCGGTCCCGGGTTTGTCGTGACTCCCATAATCACTGGAACTGCTGCATTCATCATCACCATCTTCACCCTCGTCTTAGAGCAAGGAGAAAAAAACATCCACCCAACGACGTCACTAAGGTTCATTACTTGCAGTATCATCTACTACCTGTACGGTTTTCTCCTTTAACACGGAACAGTTTCATCTTTCCGTATAAAAGCCACCTGCTACTTGTGTATTTGCCGTTAAACACAGACGAGACAGCAGAGATGTGGAACTTCAACTCTTCTAAATTTTTGGCCTACCTTTCCCACCAGCCCCACCCCAAGAGAGCCAATGAGAAGGAATTGTGGGAGCTGTAATCCAAAAGACAAGACCACAGGACCCATAATTCCTCTACACAATCTTGCAATGTGTCAAGTGCTAATCTGTTTGAGCTAGGAATTTCTAAGGTAGGGACCATGAGCACATCATTATATGCAGTGGGTTCTTCTCCCCACCTCCACGCCACCAAAGTCCTGCAACGTTGTTTTCTGTGGCTGTCTGTTTCCTCTACAGAAGGGGTTCCCAGATGTTCTTGGACTAAAGCTGTCTTCACCCCTGGCTGTGCTGGCCAGGATTTCTGGGAGTTGTAGTCCGAGAACATCTGGGCACCCAAGGCTGGGGAGGGGAGGGGGAAACAAGACACAGTGTGATCAAATGGATAAAACATAAGGTGCAGATCAGAGAATGGTTTTAGACTAATCCCAGTCTCTCACCCTAGTCTTAGAATAGGATTATTGGAAGAATAAAACTAAAAGTGGAGGGGGGAAAAATAGACTAATGACTTCTGAAAGAACCACAGCATTAAAAAAATATGACAGGAGATACATGAACTGCCAGTGTTGGTGTGGCAGCAAACTGGTAGGTTAATAATTGGATTAATAATTAGATTTCCTTCGATTGTTTCCCCAAAAACAAGACGGAAAAGGGTGTTTACCAAGTTTAGGATCCTGGACACTTTTCTCTGGTTCAGAGTCCCCGGCACCTGGCACAGGTGGTAAAGCTTCTTCTCCCCACCCGCTGCCCTCCGGGTCTCCTCCTTCCATCGCTTCCTCCTCCACCACCGTCGCCTCCCGTCGGGTCTCACAGGTCTCTTCGACAGCTACAGGTGCTGCTCGCCCGGCGCTTGTCTCTGCCCCGCCCATCCCCGGCACCGAGGAAACGGGCTCCTCCCGCTCCGCCATCACCGCCCCGTCCCGGGATCCCCCTTCGGGTGGCCCGATCACCATCGCCCGCCCGCCCTAGCACGCAAACCGTCCGCCGCTTCTCTCCGTTGCAAATTTCAAACCTTCCCGGGCGCCCGGACTCTCTTCCCGTACGTCATGGGTAGGCGCTCTCGGATTGGTCAAAAGAGGGCAACACCGGAAGCCTGGCAGCCAATCAGCACGCGGGCAGGGGGTATTCTGGAACGTTGCGACATAAGGAGGAGGCGCGGCGGGAGGGCGAGGAAAGCGGGCCGAAAGCTCTTTTAGCTGGGGCTGGCTCTCCTGGCCCTCCAATATTGTGGACTACACTTCCCATGATCCTTTAGTGTTGGATCTGCTGGCTGAGGCGGCTGGGAGTTGGAGTGCAGGAAAAAACAAAGTTGGAGTGCAGAAAAGGTGGTTGGTTATCCCCGTGGTAGCGCAATTTTCCCCCTTGTTCGAATGGTTTCGTGCTTGCCTGAAAGTAAACCCGACAATTCAGTATACAGTATATCTATGCAAGAAGTCCCGTTGAACTAAATAAAAATTACTCTTCTTATTTTGTACTGTATTCGTTCAATGGGACAGATTCTTATATTAAGGGGGGGGGGAATAGCTCGCTGGACATACATCCTAGTTAAGCTGCAAACACACATCTTCATTCTGTCCACTCTGGACTGCCTCGCTCTGCCCAGTAGCAGGGCTTTTAGTTAATTCATGATTTTGTTTACCATTTTTAGTGTGGTACTTGTTTGTTTTTAAAAAATATTTGTGTACTTGCTATTTTTAGCTTTTAATATTGTCTTTTCATGATATAAGCCGCCTTGTTTCCCTTTAAGGAGACAGATGGTCTAAGAAATATTTATTATAATAACAATAGCAGTGGTATAACCTTTGAGTGTCAGATATATACTTTCCCAAATATTTATAAAGTTTAAAATGTCTGTGCAATAGAAATGCTTTGTTTATAAGCACTAAAAACTAACGGTAACAAGATCAATTTTTCTGAAAACCTGTGACTAGCTATGAATGCTCAATACAAGTGTATGTCTGCTTTTAAAAGGAACATAACACATTCCAAACCTTCCTGAGCATTTTAAAATCAGGAATGCACACCCTTTATTTCTGTCCTAGCTTCGCTTGCTTATTTGAAACAATTTCTTCCTTATCATTTCTTTCTTTTTTTTCGAATCGGAGCCTTGCACATTTCATAATCATGGATGGACATGAAATCGAGGCAAAATCAAAAACCAATCAAAACATCAAGCCATTTTTGACAAGAAGCCGTCCCAGCCTGAGATGTGTGCAGAAACCTTTCCTCAACTTTAGCCGTCTTCCAGGGGGGTCGGTGGTTTCGGTGCTGTTCCAGTTCAACACTTCTAGAAGTGAAGGATTTGCTGGCTGCTCGTCAATGCCAGAGTGGACTCAAGATGTTTCCCATTCTTCTATAGAGGCTCCTTCTAGGTCCCTCTATAATTTCCTTAAAGGGCCACAAGATTCTTGTTGCATCCTTCATCCTTCCTCTATACAAATTTCGAGCGTGTCTTGATTCTTATTGCCACAAGGCGGCAACATAGCATTTCAAATCATGATGGAAAACTTGAATGTGGTAGCAGTCATTGGTAAAATCTCACATCTATTCAGTATATGCAGATATACACATAATACAACCCTTTGATAGCCTGATAGAAATACGTTGCTGCAGCAGAATTTGTTTCTCCATTTTTGAGAATCCTTTCAGAGGAGGCGGGGAAGGGATGGAACGTGGTGGAACACGAGCAGTGCTACTTACTATTTATTTACCGGCTTATACCTTCACCACTGCAAGCACCATTACTGGTCCCTAGAAGCTGCCTTGGAGAAGGTGGATGCATCTTGGTCTGCACCAGGTCTCCTGAACCCTGGAAGGGGGGGGGGTCCTTCACCTTCTCCTCTCCAGAACAACCTGGCTCCTTCATGGGATTCAGTCTGAGGGCTCGGCTCAAATGAGCCTTCCATCTACATCACTAAAGTCCCATCCTGCTGCTTCTACCAGCGCTTCTGTGGTTACGAGGGCTGCTGCCGTGGCAGAATGTGTATAGGGTAGTTCATTTCCTGCTGCTGGATCAACCCCAGGAAGCTGTTCCTGGCCAGTTTCTTTCGTTAGAGCAGGTACTACATCTGTGTTTGGTTGTCATGGCTGCTCTTGTGTAAACGCATCCACATGCCTTCCTGCCTTGCCCCCCGGCTATCTCAGGCTCCCTGTCCCACAAGGAATAAAACAGAGCAAAGAGTACTCATAATTATGCCGCTTCTCCTTTTCTGCTTTTCCCTCTGCTTTTTGCTTTATCCTCCTCGGTCCCTGGCTCAGATGACAGGAGGCATTCCTGGCTCCTCCGTCCTCCCTGAGAAGTGTGGGACCCATGAATTCTTCAGTCTAGCGTCGGCACAGTGTGTCCCATGTGGGCAGAAGCTGGTGAGAAGCCCTGATGGTAAGTGGCAAATAGATGGCCCGCTGGACCTCCTTGCCAAGGGGCTGGACTCGATGATCCGTAGGGTCCCTTCCAGCTCTGCTGTTCTAGCATTACAGTATAATTAAGAATTGCTGGATAGCTCAGTGGTTTAGGTCTCTGGATACGGAGCCAGAGGCTGGGAGTTCAATTCCTCACTGGGCCTTCTTGACAAGGGCTGGATTCAATGATCCATGGGGTCCCTTCTAGCTCTGTAGTTTTAAAATGATGGTGATGAAGATGACATACACAGAAAGTGGGTGTGGGAAGAGGGCATGTTGTAGGAGCCAAGAATCTGGATTTGATAGGAATGTCAGATGTTTTGCGGTTTTGATGGATTATCTATAATGTCAAAAAAGACTTCGTGTGTGTGCATGCGTGTGCACTTCAGCTTGTATCATAGCTCCAAGACTGCAAATCCCATACATGCATAATTTGACACATGAACTCGACCCAACTCCAGGAGGCAGCGGAAGACAGGAGGGCCTGTAGTGCTCTGGTCCATGGGGTCACGAAGAGTCGGACATGACTTAATGACTAAACAACAACAAAGGATCCAGGGGTGAATACTTTGTGATCATTCTAGGGTTTTTTAAATCAATAGATTATTTTAATTAACTAAGGAGAAGACTGCACAGCAAGGGAAAACCCAGGCTGTTTTGTGTTTTCTCACCTGTAGTCCCTGCTGGTTGCCGAAGATGAACGTTTGTACTTTGCATTTCCAGCACTTGGTACCCAACTTCCTTAGAAATGAAGCTGTGGTCAGGTCTCGGGTATTTCTGTCTTCAGAGATGGTCCCCAATTAAAATTGTTTAAAAAAAGGGAGTAGAAAGGTGGCTCTGTTCTTTGCAAAGGTGAGGACAAGAACAATCAAAGGAGAATTTTGAATGAGGAGAGGGAGAGAAACACCAGCAGTATCTAAGAAGAATTACAGCGAGGAGGCATAGCTGGATATGTAATATTCATATGTATGTTTGCAATTAGTAAAATGAAAGATATGTATGAAAGGCTGTTTGGTGTCTCACTGCTGCCTGCTTTGGACAGAGCAGTAAGTGGAGTCTTCCCTCCTAGAACTAATAGCAGGGGACAGAGTGAGTGAATCATCTCCCCTTGTATATATTTCCGTGCTCACTCTCCCACTATTTTCTCTTTAGAAATAGTCATAGCATCAAACCATTCATTTCAGTGCACATGGAGCCAGAGCCGGACTACATTGCCCAGAATCTCCCAAACGGCGTGGTTCCTAATTATGCTGCTAGTGCTGCCTCTCATTTCACTGCACATGGAGCCAGAGCTTAGAGAAATTACTTGGTGGACTACATCGCCCAGAATCTCCCAAACAGCATGGTTCCTAATTATGCTGCTAGTGCTGCCTGAATCTATAGTCCCTCCTAATAATGTTGCCAGGCTGTCTTTGTAGCTCCCGATGCTCCTGGAGGGCTTTGAAGGGACAATTATATTTAAAGCGAGGTGGGAAAAAGTAGGGGTGTCCGGATGTGGCTGGGCTTCAGCTCCCTTGACCGCTAGCTACTGATAGCTAATAGCAAGGAAGGCTCAATAGTTCTGGTCCAGCAACATCTGAAGGGCTCCAAATCCTTAAAGGCAATGAAGGAAGGAAGAGGCTAGTCCAGAAGGACAATATCTGGAGTGCAAGCCTGAGTAGAATAAGGTGTGGAAGAACGTATGTTAAAATATCTAGGATAGTTGTTTAATGTATAGTAAAAAATTAAAGATCAAGCAAAAGATTGGGTTGGGAATGTGATGGGCAGAATGATCTAGCAGGGAGGTGGCTTCTCGGCTATGTCCCTTGCCAGCCCTGCTGTTCTTTTTTGCAGGCTTGAGCTGTGTTTGTGTTGCTGGGCTGAACGAGACAAAGGAGCCACCACTTCCTTCCACCTGCCCTGGCTGTGTAAGAGAGTGTCTCATCATTTCTTTTTCTCTTACGCAAGGTGGACCTTTGGGCATTGCCTTATATATATATTCTTTCCCTTACCCTTCCTCTCTGCTAGGGCAACGTGGCACCCAGCACGCTGTGGGAATCCATGTTCCTCGATGCCGCTTTCCTGAATTGCAATGTAAGTGCCATCTTGCTCTCCTCTCTCCGTCTTGCATTCTCAGCCATGACGTTGGGCGGCTTTCAGTTCATAAGTCTCCATGGAATCAGAGTCAAATTAAGCACAAAGAGTAATGCATATTCCTTGTGATGAAAACGTTCTCCCTTCTGGAGATGACATTTCTTGCATGCCTTAGCAATCAAACTTGCAAAGTAAGACCAACAACCAATCACAAAATGAAGTGTGCTAAAGGTGTGGTGTGGAGGTGAGTAGAAAACGCATGCTGTGACAGGTAAATGCCTTTCACCCATTGAGGGAACACGCCTTCTAAATAGCAACAAAGCTTGTTCTCTGCTTTGATTTTTAAGTGCAGCAAATTGGACTTCAAATAACTGTTTTCTTTCCTGTGAGTTGCCTAACAGGATTGGACCTCAGCACTAGCTGTCTTACACTAGGCCGCATCATGCAGATCTAAACAAAAGCAGAGAGGAAGGACCGGAAGAGAAGACTCAAAAACACTGAATACGGAATAAACCATAATAATTGATACCAAAAACATAAGAAGGTGTAGGAAACTATATAATGCATGCACCTATATGCAACCCAACAGTCCATCAGTCAAAATAAATCTCCCAAGAAAAAGATCCTGTACAAAAAATATGTATGGTGAACAGTCACACACAACAAAAATTGTAATTTTCAGATAAATAATTAAATGACAATAACTGTGGGATATGTTGTAATTTATGTCCATCTTCAGAGGAAAACCTTTGGGCTGGAGTTATATGGACAGCAGCCAAAGCAATTTCTCCCAATTAGCATAAGTCAATGATTCAATAATTTGAGGCAAGGGTAATTGTTCGAGATTGATGACTTAGAAATCAGTCATTATGTTGTCTTAGTCCTGCTCTTTCCCTCTAGAACACCTGCAATGCAACAGCCTGCCAAATTCTCACTAACATGGTCATTTTGGAAGCCTTCACATTGGAAAACAGAGCCTATGATCTCTACACAAAGGCCAAGTGAGTATTCACGTGCACCTACATCCGGAACGGCTGCCATTGGATCTGCAGGTGTTGAGGTATATGCTGTTTCTGTGATGGGCGGCCTTTTCTACCTTAAGGGGCAACGAAATTGCAAAAAAATGTGAGAAATGCTCCAATATTGGGACAGGCTGATTCACTTTTTTTTTTCATTTTTTACTTTTTATCACATGATACAAAAGGAAATACAAATCATCTATAGCTCCCCCCAATTCCTGGGGCTACTACTTTTTTTTAAAGAAATGGATCCAATTGCATCAGTTCAGATGTGTAATTGCTTGAACCGATGTAGAAAAGCTTTTCTTTCAGCACATACAGCTTTTTCTTCTTTCCATGGGCAGGACTCCTCTTTCTTTTCTTTTTTAACAGTTTAAGAATGGAAAGCAAAGATTCTATTCCTTGGCAAGAGTTTTCTTTTTAAAAAAAGAGACAATGAGGAAAAAAGGAAAGGAAGCCTTTTGTACAACTTATTTGGTTGTTCCTTTGTAGTGATGCCACCTTTCAAGGCTCTAAATAGAACTGCAAACAAGCTGCAAACAAGGTTCTCCTCCTCTATGCTTATGAGGCCTGTAAAGATGGGCACAAACCAGTCCATCCCAGTTTGTTCCAGTTCATAAAGACAGCAGTGCAGGTACTGTCCCACCTCCTCTGGCTCAATCGGCCACTCTCACCAGTCCGAGCGTGGTAGCTTCCTGCACCTCCTCAACTGATCTTCCAGTCCCGGCAACAGTTCAGGCTTCTCTGTCCCGTCCTCTTGGCTGATCTCCCACTCAGGCAAAAGGGCAGGGGAGAGGAAGTCTGTGCTCCTTCTCAAGACTGGGAGATGAGCCAAAGAGGTGGAAAAAAGCAAGCAAGCAAACTGGCCCTGGACGCAGGGGAGGGGAGCAGCACCACCTGTGCTTCCACGTTTACAAACTAGAAGAACTGGTTCATGCCCATCTCTAGTGGTCTCAAGATGGAGATGAGCCAAGGAGGTGGGAAAAAGCAAGCAAACTGGCCCTGGATGCAGGGGAGGGGAGCAGCAGCACCTGTGCTTCCACGTTTACAAACTGGAAGAACTGGTTCATGCCCATCTCTAGTGGCCTGGCAACGTGAAACAACCCAGGGAAACAGTCGCTCAAGTCTTTCTTGGAGGAGAGAACTCAGGAGGTGATTACAGCAATGTGCTCTTTAAGGGGCTGCTGATGGAAATACTGCAATGTGCTCTTTAAGGGGCTGCTGATGGAAAGTGTCAACACGTCCAAAATACAGCAGCCAGATTGCTGACTGGGGCTGGTTACAGAAGGATCCCATAACCCTCCTATTACAGCAGCTCCACTGGCTGCCAATCAGTTTCTGGGCACAATTCAAACTCCTGGTTTTAACTCATAAAGCTCTAAATGGCCTGGGTCCAAGCTATCTCAAAGATCGTATTATGAGCCGTCTCGGATGTTAAGATCATCCTTTCTCTTGGTCCCAGCACCGTCACAGGTGCATTTGGTGGGGACACGGGAGAGGGCCTTCTCTGTTGCTGCTCCCAGACTTTGGAACCCCGGCTCGGATGTTAAGATCATCAGGAGTGGCCTTTCTCTCGGTCCCAGCACCATCACTGGTGCATTTGGTGGGGACACGGGAGAGGGCCTTCTCTGTTGCTGCTCCCAGACTTTGGAACTCCCTCCCACTGGAGATCAGGCTGACCTCATCTTTGCTGTCCTTCCACAAGCAGGCCAAAACCTTTCTCTCCAGGCAAGCCTTCCCTCAGTAACTAGCTACCTGTTTGTGATTTTTATGCATTACTGCTTTGACTGCAAATGCTTCTGTTGTGGTTAGTGCTGATCAACAGAACAAAGTGTGCTACAGATTTTCATGTGTGTGAAAACAGAAACTTTGCAGCTGATCTTTTTAAAATTGCCTGCCTCACCATGCAAAAAGGTCAAATTTAAAAATCAAGGAAGCAAGGAAGGAGAATTTACTGTGAGATGTTAGATGTTGCAAATGGAGAATCAGACCACATGTGCAGTTCAAGGATGATCACGTAATATTTGCTTAAAATAACTTGCTGTTTTGTTGAGTTCTACAGAATTTGTTATTTTAAATGTCTGAATTCTTTACCATTCAATCTTAAATGCCTATTTAGATGTAAAACCCAGTTAGTTCTGTATGGCTCTTTCGCAGTGTAAATTATAAATGCCTGTAAAATTGGTAGAGGTGAAGTCTTTTGGTGCCTCAGTGTGTTACTTTTTTCTTTACAGAAGCCAAGCACTTCCAAAATTGTGGTACGATGGTACTGGAAGACCTTTTCCCACTGTGTCGTTTAGGAAGAGTTCAAAGGCAAGTCAAAGCATTCCCAGACAAACAGACAGGAAAGAATGGGAAGAAATGAGGAAGCCATCAATAATCTCTTCTAAAACAACTTCTCTTGGCTGAATATTTGCATCAAACCTGGTCTTGTCGGCATGATCCACTGCTGATCCATAGGCAGCAAAATCAAATTCACATGCAGTTTATTGGTCATCATTCTGCTTCAAAGTGTTCTGCTGCAGCAGCGACCTTTGAAACGGCTCCCGTCAGCTGCAGGTTGTAATGGCAATGTCTCTAGTGCTGCCTTATTTGTTAAACTGACTGGATCACAGAGCTAACTTTGCAAACAAACAAACAAACAAATAAATAAATACTCTTTCTAAAAAATATGACACTAACCTGAGAACAAAGGCCTGTTGTATCAAAACTGCTTTCTTTCATTCTCTGCAGATGGATTTTAAAGTTCTGAAGTACGATGTACGAGGAAGGTTCTTAGGATGGGAAGATGTGGGAGGGAGAATTTTGCAAGTGAGTTGATTTCTTCCCATCCTTTTTGCATTACCAGTAACGTTTTTGTAAGGAATCCAGGGTGTTAAGTCCAATGTTAGTCTCAACTTTGCTACACCACACTGGTAGAGTGGTTATCAGTGTGGTGTAGTGCAGTGGTTCTTAACCTTGGGTCTCCCAGGTGTTTTTGGACTGCAACTCCCATAAGCCTTCACCACCAGCTGTGCTGGCTGGGGTTTCTGGGAATTGCAGTCCAAAAACACCTGGAAGACCCAAGGTTAAGAACCACTGGTGTAGTGGATAGAGTGAGGGACTATGACTCTGGAGGCCAGGGTTCCAACTCCTACTTAGCCGTAGGAACTCACTGGGGGACTGGAACTGGTAAAACCCAGTGGACAGAGTGAGGGACTCTGGATACCAGAGTTCAAACTCCATTTTGGCCGTAGGAACTCACTGGGGGGGGACTAGAACTGGTAAAACCACTATAAGTTGGTTCTGACTCTGGAGGCCAGGGTTCCAACTCCTACTTAGCCGTAGGAACTCACTGGGGGACTGGAACTGGTAAAACCACTATAAGTTGGTTCTGCCTTGACATCACATAATGAACTAACAGGGACATAGACCCATTGAAATGAATGAGACAGTCAACAGAAGCATGCACCGCTAATGTCAGTGAGTCTACTCTTGTTGGGGCTAAGATTGGAATCATTCTAGTGGGATCGTTTAAAAGAGATTAGAGGAAGATTCTTCATAGCCATCTCCCATGTTGTTGCCCAGCACCTTGTTTTCAAAGGTAGGGAGGCAGCCTGTGAAACAGAGGCTTTGTGTAGCAGCCATAATATTGCTCTCCTCTTCCACCTTCACGTCAATTTCATGGGCACTGTTGTAGACAAGGTTTGAGTGATTTCTGGGTGTGGGATGCAGGTAGAGGCATTAATCACCAAAAAGCATGATGTAGCACCTACCTTCAGGGCTGGCAAATGAGGTCTGGGACATTCGCTGTGGCAAACTGCCGACTCCTTCACCCGATGTTTACCACGTTTGCCTCTTACCACTTACCTCTTCTTCTTTTTTTCCCTCTTGCTCTTAGCTCTGTTCGGGAAGTCAGAACACGTTGGATGCGGCCTTTGTATTTGGAACTTCGTACACTCGGTCTGTAAGTGCTGAGTGTTTTATACGGTAGTTTATCCTCTGAGCTTAGAAGTAAGTAATTACAGATATGGCATTTCCCCACTAATGGTTACCTTTTAATTCATGGGTAATGTAATGAGTAGTTGTTTTTAAGGGGTAATGAGTAACGTCTAAATTACTTAGGTGTTGTGCTTAGTTACTATGAAATATTACTTTTGAAGGGCATGGTAAGTCTCTTTGAGGGGCATTTTTAAGGCACAGCAGGGAATCGACCTCCCAACCTCTGGCGCCATAGACAGATGCTTAACTCCCTGAACTATCCAGCCAGCTCATACATACCATGCCCTATTGTTACTGGGCACTGGTGCTACTGAGCACAACACATTGTGTATATGAAAAGTTGGGTGAATGCTTCTCCCTTGCAGACCAGAGAGGAGGGTATATGAGGGCCATTCTTACTCTCACTCCACTAACTTTCAGTCTTCTGCCTCTGGCCATCTCCAGATGTGCTGAACTTCAACTTGAATCATCCCCAACCTATAGGAACATTCATTGTTCTAACTGCAGATGATGAAAGTTGCGATGTAATCCATCTAGAGAGAACATGAAGTTGAAGAAGGCTGATTTCTCATCTGTCTCCTTTGTTCTAGTGCACTCTTGAAGTCTCCGACCTCCTACGAAGTGTCCCCGAACCCATATTTTATGAGCTGTTCTTGCAGTTTGATGACGAGAAAGGGAATGTTGATTTGTGGCCAATCCCTGTAGACAATCCAGCCATACTGACAAATAACCAAGGTGAGATCCTTCTCCCTCCTGGACTTGCAACTAAAAGCAATGGGTATTATTGTCAGAGAAGTGTGGCAGTGCTATATTTAAGGAGCAAGGAACAAGTGGGGTTGAGGCAATAGACAGACAAACAGTTGGAATAAGATGTCTGGCCTTCCTTGACTTTCTCTAAGTGACTCTTCTCAGGGCCATCTCCTCCTTCACTAAGGTGGTCCTCCTGGAGAATGATGGGTCATGGAGCTTTCCCTCCATGATGGCAGTCAGCCTACCCATGTACAGAAGCCAAGTCCAGCTGCTTCTGCCTCTTAAGTTTACATTTCTTTTCTTTTAGTGTGTCCTCTTCTTAATGAATTCGTTGGAGGAATAAACCTGTCTTGTACCTCACATGAGCATGTGGAATGATTACTTGTATCTGACACCTAATGCCACTATTCATTCCACTTGCTGCACTCTGCTAGTACAAAGACCACAAATTCCTGCACGTATAGTCCACGAAACCTCTTACCTCTTGCTGATTCCTCGCTTTCATGGATCAATACCTCGTTTGATGGAGCCTCTTTCCTGCAGAACATCAGCCCATGCCACCCATTCTTCTCAGGCCTTACATCTCCAAGTGGCCATGCCAAGAGAGGCCAAGAAGACTGTCACCAGAAATTGTGCCTTCTCGGTGGTGGCCCCATCCTTATAGAGCGGGCTCCTGGTAGAAGTACGTCAGGCTGCCTCCCTCCCATATATCAAGAGCATGCTAAAGATTGTCCTGTTTCAAGAGCATCCTCTTGGTTCATGCTGGTTCGTGCATCGGCTGGGATGCCCACTCAGTGCTGGCAGAGCTCAGAGAAGTGGTGACCGCACATTCAGCCACTAAACGAACCACTGAACTGGTGGTTCTTACCTATCTCTAGTTCTCAATATCGGCTGGGATGCCCACTCAGTGGTGGCAGAGCTCAGAGAAGGCGGGGCTGGGAAGTGGTGAATGCACATTCAGCCACTAAATGAACCACTGAACTGGTGGTTCTTACCTATCTCTAGTTCTCAACTTTCATCCCATTCGAATGTTTAGCCTCCAGCCCAAACACAGCCTATGTTTAAGGAATATGGATGTTGAAATACAAAATATCTGGAGGCTGAAAGGTTGGGAGCCACAATAGACTGTAGTATCAAGGGAGTGGTATTGTACATCCTGGCACTAAGAGATTCTCATCCGTCTCGCCTCCATCTCAGCTAGTGTTTCTGAATGCAGTAAAATAGAAATTACTTCCTCGGAAAGCAATTTGGTAGGCTGTTTGCAGATTGTATCAGACGCTGCATCATTCTCTTCCTCTGAGTGACACATGTACAGAGTCTACAGCTTGATAACTCTCTCCTTCGCCCATGTTTCGCTCAGCATTTCCAAATTCTGGGGCGCTCAGAAGATTCTTTCTGGTTGACGGGCTCTCAGGCAGAAAAGCCAACTTGACAAATGCTCCAGCATCTGTTACACTTGCAGCAGAATTGCTCCTCAGGTAAAACAAAAGTAAATCAGCAAAATTAATGTCCAGATGGGTCAGATGTAAGTTAGGAATGAAACATTCTTTAATTATATTTCTACATTTCATCATTTTAATATTTGCTTTGTTCACCAACCCAGAGAGCTATGGCTGTTTGGTATGACAGATGTGCAGGCAAAAATCGGTAAATGATGGACAGAAAAAGTGTTTCTGTAAGCAAATGTCCTTCCTGCTTCGATCTGACGTGTGAAATTATTGAGAAGAGGTAGCAGTGTTAATCTGTGCAGATCAGGCAAAAACAAAAGAAAAACAAAAAAATGAAGAAGTCAGAAATGTCATGGAACCTTAAAGACAAATTGCTATCTTTTAATGTGAGTTTTCATGAACAAGTCCAGTGTCTGATAAAGTGGACTTTTCCACAAAAGCTCACATTAAAATATATCGGTTAGTCTTTAATGTGAAATGATTTGTCTATCTTAGTGAATGCATTAAGCAAGCAGATTGGGAGCTTTCAAAAATTTTGTTAGAGGCTGCAAATATCCGGATTAGAGATGGGTTTGGTGGTTCCCAGCCTTGCTTTCCCCAGTGGGCTCTTACTCAGAGGCAGTGGGGCTTCCATGCCCCACCTTCTCCAGGCACTGCTCTGAGTGGGTGTCCCCCCCACCCAGGAGATGGGGCTGGGATAGCACTGAACACTCGTACGTCCAAAGGATGAACCATCCCTAATCCTGATTTTAATGTTGGGTATGTAAACCTGACTGTCCTGCACAGAGAACAGAGCTGCGCAAATGTGTGCGTTTTTTGGACTGCAACTCCCAGAATGCCCCAGGGAGCATGGCTGTTGCTTAAGGAATTCTGGGAATTTTGTACCCAAAAAACGCAAATCTCCACATCTCAAAGAAAAAGTGGGCAAAGGCTTTGAGAAACTCCAGATAAAATTCAATACAACTTAAATTATGTCTTCATCTTTCAAATGGTCGTTTTATGAGGTCCAGATAGCATTTGAGGAGGGGATAATAATGATCAGGAGTGCAACTGGCAGGGGGAAGGAGCTTAACTCTCTTCTCTGATGAAACATATAAAGCTGTTGTTTGCGTAAGGAGGAAATCACCAGTCAATACCCATGAGAGTTTCTCCAGGGGTTTCAAATAACCCCAGGGAGACAAGGACCATGGGTTTCGGAGTCTGAAAAAGAGTGAGGCTCCTTCTCCCTGCTCTCCATGGTCCCTTGGATAGTCTGGCTTCCCCAGAGGCTGTCTGCCCAAAAAAAACCCAACTGTGCATCTTAATTATTTTCATGTGATTGATGTGACATTCCGTTTCTGCCTCAAGTAATGGGTCGATCAGCTTCCTGAGAGCCTGAGAAGTTCAATCAGCCTCGGTTTCTTTCTGCCAAATTAACACCCTTCTTTTCCCTCACAGCTCATTTTCCCAGTATAGGTGCTTAAGTTTAATGACTTGTTGTCCCCTTAATTGGTTGCTCCTTCCTCCAGTTCATCTTCTCCATCTCTGCTTCTTTTTTCTGGCACTTCATGCAGCATATCCTTGCCAACTAGTAATCCCGGAGCCAACCCTCCTTTCCTGCTGACGGTGAAATATGCCACGCAGAGCAACCCTGGCATCATCCAGGCAAGTGTGTGTGTGTGTGTGTGTGATGTGAAAGGCTTGGCCTCCCACCCACTTCTAGTAGCTAGTGGGGAAGAAATGCACACGTGCCTAGCAGCAGCTGAAAATGACACAGCTCTGTTGCCGCCGTCAAGTTTTCCCTTCCCTCCAGGCCTCTGGCTGCTGTTGCTTCAGCAGGTGTTAATTAAAACTGGGTTTGTGTGGTTGGATTATTGCGAAGGTTGGAAGCAAAGGTCTCTGTTTCACCTGGCTGGATGCCCTGACCCTCCCCTAAGGTGGCTTCTCTCCCTGGTGTCCCCAGGTAAGAGAGGGGTGCAGGTCCCACGTGGCTTGCTGAAGCTCTCAGGACTCCCACAGTGTCCCCAGGCCTCTTTCCATTGCCACAAAAATAAAATAAAATACATTCAGCCCCCATATGCCAAGGGATGTGTGATGCTCCATTTGAAGGCTGTAGGACCACCCCTGCATCTTTTAAACTTTTGCAATAAACTTCCAGTCACTCTGAGTGGAGGGGAGGAGAAAAATATAACCTTCTGGGAGTTGCACAACGGCATGGGGTCAGATGGGCTTCGCACCAGGAACATGCGTGTGTTTTTGCTTGGACCCCCAACTGCCATCAGGGGCTGCTTCCTTTTCCTGCAGCTTGGCCGATCATAAGGCAGGAGGAATACCAGCCCAGCCTGGCTCCAGGAGAGCACAATTTAGGTGTCTGTCCTAAATCGTGAAAATCCCAAAATGGACAATTCTGGGATTTAGAGTTCAAATAAAAGGGAATGCATCTGCCTGCTCTGTACTCTCCCCCAGCTGTCCTCCTAAAATCTAGTTAATTGGGCAGTGGGGGGAGAAATCTTCTCTCAGAGAGCCTCTGCCAATTGCTTTAGGTGATGGACATCAGGCCCTGAGATTGTGCTCACAACCTGGACTCAATCCCAGGCTTGAGGTTCACTCAGCCCTCCATCCTTTTGAGGTCAGTAGAGGGAGCACCCAGTTTGCTGTGGAGTGGGGGCAATGTGTAGCCTGGGTGATTAAACTGCCAACCCCCCAGAGAGTGCTTTAAGCTGTATGAGGCGGCGTATAAGCAGCACGCTTTGCCTTTGCATTCTTCTGTGCCGTCAAGTTGGAACTGACTTATAGCAACCCTAATAGGGCTCTCAAGACAAGTGAGGTATTTAAGGAGAGATTTTACCAGTTCCGCTCCCCCAATGAGTTTCCTTGGCCAAGTGGGGATTTGAACCCTGTTCTCCAGAATCCATGTCCATCACTCTCTCCACTACACCACACTGGAAAACCAGTGCTCTAGGTAAGGTTTGGGATTATCCCTGGTTTTAGGCATTGGGAGGGGCACTTGGAACTGATTTCCTACCGATACCATATTTCTACTGTGTGATAAAAAAAGGACTCTTCCAGCTGTATGAATGACATACAAAAGCATTCAGATGCTTTATAATCTTAGCCCATTTTTTGCATAGATTTTCTGAAGATAGTGGATGTCATAACCTCAGCTGAGGTCTGGTTGGCAGGCCTGCAGATGGCATACCTCGTTTTTTTCCCTTGGTACCTTTTCTTTGTGTTACTTCTTTACAGGCGTCATTTTCGGTCGCTTACCTTCATGATCCTGGAACAGCTCAGCAAGCCACCAACGTGAGTCACGGTCATGGCAGGATTCCAGGGGCTAGTCGTGTGTTGGCTTTGGGGAGCTTTGCTGAGCCAAATAGTCGCTTTAGGGTGGCCCCATGGCATGTGCCTTCCAGCAAGCCGAGTCCTCTGACAGAAAGGACCCCAAGCAAGTTGTCATTTGTGATTTTAGCTCTTTGTTTGTATGATTTTCGTTTAGTTTTAACTATTGGTTTTGCAAATCTTGCAGCTTGCCCACCTTCCCCCAGAGTGTGGACTTCTAAATTATTAGACTCTGCAAGACTCTGGAGTTGTAAACTATTGTTCAATTAATGTGATTGCCAGTAGAGTGTACCATTGGATTGAACTGGAACTCCTTCCCATGGGAGGCCAGGCTGGCCCCCTCATTGCTGTCCTTCCTCAAACAGGCAGAGATCTTTCTTAGGAGAGAGGTGGGGTAAAAAAAATATTTTAAATAATTATAATGAAAATAAAATAAAGATGGTTAGCCATCTTGGAGTCCTGTAAGGAACGGCAGGATGTAAATCAGGCTCAGACTGTATCATGATCCAGACTAGGACTGTATCGTGACTAGGAATGACCAAGACTAAGACTATCGTGACTAGGACTGATCCAGATTAGGACTGTATTGTGAATGAAGTGTTTTCCCTCATTTCCCCCAAGTGTTTCACCCCAAATCTGCTCACCTTCCTAGCTGGGCATACATTCTTCGTTAGACACAAAACGCTGTTCAGTCGGGGCAGAAAGAGACAAGTAGCCAGCTTCGCAGTTGGAAGATTCTAAAACGTTTTGCTTCCAAAAAATGTATTTTTTTCAATTGCTTTTACATCTCTGCAATCAATTTGCAAATGGACCCATGCTTATCTTCCAGTTACCAAGACTGAACTCAAGTGAGTTAATGTGAAACAAGAGAAACAAGGCTTCTTTCATTCTTAAGGGAGTTCCATTTCTAACTGCAAAGTGGCCCTCTCCTCTGTTTCTGCCCTTAATCGCAGGGCAGAGGTGTGACTCTTTCTCTAGTCTCCATAACACACATTTGTTTTCTCTGCCTCTTCCTCTCCTCTTCGTAGATTGCATTTGGAGTCCTAGGATTTCTGGCCCTCCTCTATGCTTTGCTGGAGACCAGCAGTTGGGCTCGGCGATCGCGGCTTCCAAATATAAATTTGATGGTAAGAGTTTAGAGTTGCTTTACTTCCCATTTACAAGCTGATGGAAATGCTGTCATGCCTCAGACCAAAGAATGATAATTGGTTCACTTTTAATACTTGTCTCACAGGAGTGAGAGCTGTTTTTCTGCATGCCTGTACATCGCTGGCAGGTACCAATGCTGCTAGTTGCATGAGGTCTGCATTTGTAATGCACTTCCCTCTTGATTTGTCCTTTTTATTTATATATCTATTTATCACACTTTTAAAGTGCCCAGCAGCCAACATTCTGTGATTGGCACACAGTCTGTTTTAAAAATATAAATTGAAACAATAATTCAATGTCTTGTCTGTGCCTGGGTGGATTTCATGCATCGGAAGATGCTGACAGTAATCAACAAAACTCATGCTGAAATAAATCTTATAGTCTTAAAGGTGCCCCAAGACTCTCCTTTTCCTTTTTTGTTATAGAAATAATGCATAAAAACCATGGCTAAAGAGGTAGAATAAAATAAACAAGATAAAATCAGTAGCAGAGAATAAATCATTTCAGCCTATAAAGCCCAATTAAGTTCAGCAGCAGAATAAAAGTGCAAAGGCACAGAAATATTCCATAGATCGGGCAACCCCAGTTGCTCCTTCTTACTTCAAGAAATTTTATTCTGTCTAGAGGGAAAATATTTTATTTTGCTTTATTGTGCAGCTCATCGTTCAATTCTTTGCCTACTTTGCTGGATCTCTGGCAAACATCTTCTTCATTGTCACGCTTGGAATTGGTATTTATTGGCTCATTGTTTTCAAGGTAAATAATTCTCAAGCCCAGATTTTTCTTGCATGCCCCTGATAGTCTCGATGGACATGACAGTGAGCACCTCGTTAGAAACAGGGCTCCCTCAAGAGATAAAAGATCAGCCTTCTTTGCATGTTGTAAATCAGCTTGCTTTGGTTCTGGGGTGATCATCTGGTGGTAAAGATGAACATCGTTTTGAAGTCTAATTGCTTAGGCACACAGTGTTAAAGGAAGTATATTTCTGGAAGGAACATGTAGTTAGGCTTACAATAGCAAAGATGGCATTTCTGTCCAGTTTGATTCTTAGACAACATGTCTTGCTTACTCTTGGAGTAGTTTTCAACAGCACTGCTTTCCAGGAAAAAAAAAAAAAAACAAGAATAACCACCTATGTGATCCCAGGTTGTACCCTTGAAGGTAAACTGCTGAGGCAGCAGGTACCTAATTAAAAAGTTAAGATGATATGTGAAACCTCCACCCCAAAGACTTCTGTGCAGGGAATCATCTTCAGTATCTTTTTCTTATTTTAAACTGTTCTTCCTTAGGGTCAACAGGTTTCTGCTGTTGAAGTGATGCTGCCAGCTGCTGGGAGCCAAATAGAAACCAACTTCATTATCTATGTGTTATGTGCACTTGCGTTGAAGGTAATTGCTTTCACAGAGGTAGACGTTAGAAGCAGAGTTTGGGAAATTTACTTCCTAGGCTCCAACTCCCAGATTTGTTTGTATTTGTTTTATTTTTATACTGCTTGACTTAGTGGCTAAGCACTGCTTGGGGTATTCGCGAAGGCTTTCATGGCTGGAATCTATTGGTTTTCTCAGCTAAACCATCCTGAAAGTTGTTGTAACCTTTCCTCAAGGGGTCCTTGATTTTTCTGAAGCTTGCCCAAAACTGAGTCGAAAATCCAACTCAATTTTGAACCAAAAAGGGGCTCTCTTGTCCATTTTGGTAAGGCTCTCTGTCTGAGGGCCAGACGGCATCTTACTGACAGCCCATCATCAGAAGGGGGAATTCCATAATGGCTGAAAATATCAGATTTTCGCATCTTCAGTACTTTGCAGGTTGCCTTGTCTGTGTGATTCGGCACTGAGTAAGGGCAGGTTTCTGTTCTACCCTGTTTCCCCGAAAATAAAACCTAACCTGAAAATAAGCCCAAGTATGATTTTTCAGGATGCTCCTAAGCCCTACCCCAAAAAGAAGACCCAGTTAAGTGAAAACCCATGCTCTGCCATTGTGCAGCAACCAGAAGAAGATGACATGACTGTATTTGAATAAATGTAGAGTGTTATACATGAAAAAAAAAATAAAACATCCCCTTAAAATAAGCCCTAATGTGTTTTTGGAGCAAAAATTAATATAAGTCCCTGTCTTATTTTCAGGGAAACACAGTAGTGTGATTGCTCAGTCATAAACATGGGCCTGAATCATGCTTTTGGAACACTAATGCATTTCAGCTTCAAAGGACAGGTTTTCTGTAATGTCTGTCTTGACCCCCCCAGATCTTGAAGTTTTGAGAGCCACAGAGAGGAATGTCACAGCTTAAAACTTACCTGAACCTGTCTTAATGTCACTGAAACATACTCCTTTGTGGATGCTTTTGTTTTAGACTTTGGATGTCATACATATTTTGGTAAGCCAGCTAACGGTATCCATTTTCCTGATCGACTGGGAGAAGCCAAAGGAGAAGCGAGTTTTGAAAGCAGGTCTGTGTTGCCTTTTGGAAGCTAGTTTCCATTTTGTGTAAGTTTTCCTCTCTTGGGATTCAGGCAGCTGGGCTTGGGGAAAAAATAACTTGTAAAAAGCAAATATTGCAGAGATAGGGAAGCAGTGTCTTGAGTCAGCAAAAAAGGATACAAATGTGGGATGAGGTGATTCCGGAGAGAGCAAGACTTTGGACCAAACCATACGTTGTAAGGGAAAGCAGGAATTCTAGTGCATCAAAGGTTAGGGTTGGAGTTTGGATTTAATGTGTCATGAATGTTTTGACCTCATAAAAAACCTACAGCCCCCCGAATTGGGCTCACTTACTGACAATTGGATCACATAATTTCTGCATCACTGCATCATAGTTAACTGAAGACTGTCACGTGTGTGTCACTTTGGCTGGGACAAAAAGAAGGCAAAAAACAAATCAACATATTTTGTCCCAGCTATTTTTGTTTCCAAGAATGCATGGGTGCAAACCATCAATGGTTGAGGCAGACTGTGCTGCGGGGTGCCTCAGTTCTAGAACTAGTTTTGATTCTACAAAACAGAATTTTAAAAAAATAAAAATTACATTGTCAGACTGAAACATCCTGTCCTATGTACAACAGTTAAGCTAGATGATAATGAAATGTAAAAAATGTAGTAGGAATCTGAACATGAATTAAGATCCGAGGAGATATGGGAGCAGAGTTAGAGACCGGCATCACTTGTGGGTGAGAGCTACCAAAAGGCAGAGAATGGGCGGCAATCCACTCACAGATCCCTGATAGGCAAGGAAATATTATGCAGTACCATGTCAGGCTTGCATAATAGCTTTGCGGCTCAGATTCTGTGGTTTTAGTTCAAAATGCAGTCTTTGCTGTCCCTCCCACTGCCATGAACACACTGTTACATCATTAAAGCAATCAATTGTTCGTAATTTATTTGTCACCCTGGGGCTCCTTAGTTCCTTGCAGCCTGGAGCCTGGAACCCTTGAAACCCACTAAGCTAAGCAGAGGGTGATCTTGAAGGTGGCAAGTTCTTACTTCAAGAAAGAAAAAAGGAAAAAAAGAAATAAGGATCTGTTACCTATAGCACATGGCACAGCTGTTATGCAATGCTCGCTTGTTTAATTAACGTCAGTAAATCACATCAAGAAGGCCCTTGGTACTACTGGGAAATCAGCAGGTGTCTGTTCCATGAAGCAGCTTGCCTCAAATCATAACGATTTCATATTGGGAAGTAGTAAATTAGCATAAGCAAGAGCTTAAGGAAACCCAGGGCACTGAGCCTTGTACGGTGCCAAGAATCCAATAAGCTGATGTTGAGTCTTCAAACAAAGTGAATTGTTTTGGCTTGCTTCTGTTTTGCTTCGTTTTTCTCCCCTCCGCTTCTTCAGGAGATCAGGGGGCAGCTTCCTCTGTGAGTGCTTGGAGAACATTTTTGATAGCGAACGAGTGGAATGAGATCCAGACCCACAGGAAGGTTCATCCTTCACTTCAGTTGTTTGCTGTCTTGCTGCTTTTGGAGGTGAGTAAGAGGTTAAGGAGAAGAAACATCTGCTCTGCAGTCCCTTTGTGAACGAAGCTAAATAACTGGAGCTGTGGCATTGAAAAAGACCAAGAGTGTGAACTGAGCTAGCTTGGAGAAATTGCTGTTTTGACTACAGCTCCCAGAATCCTTCAGCTAACATGTCCACTAGTAACTTATTCCAGACTCTAGTGCGTAGGTTCCCAACCCAAGGGGGTCACAAAGTATTTTCTGTGGGGTCACCAGGCTTGATTGATTGATTGATTGATTGATTGATTGATTGATTGATTGATTGATTGATTGATTGATTGATTGATTGATACCCCGCTTATCTGGACTACGAGTCCACTCTAGGCAGCTTCCATACAAATTCAAACAATAAAAACACAGACAAGTACATGCTGATTCAGTAACAACTACAATTTTTTTAAAAAAGATAGGGAAAATAAGAGAAAGAAAAGAAAAAAAATTAAGAGCTGGCTGGAGGGAAGGCCTGAATGAACAACCATGTTTTTAATTGGGTTTTAAATTGGGTTTTAAAGGCTTAAGCAAACCAGAGGTTTCTATATGTTCACTTAGTGTATACCTGGGTGAGTTCATTTTCATTAAGAGATGGGAAGAGAGGCAAGGTAAATAAAGTTTATCCTTGCGATCCCCCTTTTCTCAATCAACTTCTACCAATGAATTCCAACAAGCTGAGGAGCCAAGCCACCTTCACAAATGGGAAGAAAACACATGTTAGGTGGGGGAGGATTATTCACCAGAATTCTTGCAACATCCATCTTGCTGTAACAGAGGGAGCATTGGCTTCTTCTGTCTTCCACACATGGCCTGCGGATGGTTTCTCTCAGCTCCGTGTCGGGGGGTTGAAAGGGAGAGTCTGAGGAAAGGTAAACTGCATTAGCAGTGGGGCCTTTATTATTCGGATTAATTTTATAATATTTGGATCTGGAAAGTTTTCAGGTAACCCAGCCTAAGACTTGATGGGTTATTTTGTTCTCTTTTAATAATATATTGGGGCATCTTTTCTTTACCCTATTAAAAATGCCTTTTTATGCAGATGTGGTGGGAGGGTCCTTGGTTACTTGGCAGGCTAGGAGACACTGCTGTAGTGCATTATGTCACTTACATTGGCACAGTTCTGTCCCCTTGCCCGTCAGTATTGTATCGGCCACGTTAGCTGTGGATTCTGGAAGTTATCATGCTGTAAAGTAACTTTTCCAAGTTCTGATCTTATGCCACTGGTGTTTGGGAGCCCAGCTTGGCAGGAGCAGTTGTTTAGTGATGATGAGATACTCGTTCTAAAGTAAAAGCCAACCTTGTCTGCACGAATCTTATAAATGTGAAAATTCTGAGTCATCTTGATGCCCTGCTTGCTACGTGGTTAATTTAGACATCCTCATACTGTAACAACCCTATGAGTATGTTTTCATTAATCTCATTACACAGGTGGGAATGAGTGAGTGAGAGAGCATCTCCTCGGGAAGACCACCCCACTCATGGCTGAAGAGAATGCTCTGTCTAAGTGGGAACCCTAACAATTCTGTTAAATTTCTAGGTGGTGGGACTGAAGAACCTCACATCCCGAGACCTGAGTGTGAATTTGCACCCAGAACCAGATGCTTATCGTGCACCATGGAGCCCCATCCTTCGGTTCGGAATTGCTGCTTCAGTTTGGTTGGCCGTGGGACTTGTGCAGGTTATAGTTTTCTCTGAGTCTGGGGTGCCCTGGGAGTGTGCAGCTTGCCCAAGGCCACACAGGCTGGCTCTACTCACAGGAAGCACAGTGGGTAATGGAATGCCCAATATATGGCTTCTCAGCCAAATACCTAAACCACTGAGCTATCCAGCTTTGCAACCCTATAAGGATAGGCCAAATCCTAATGTAATGGTCTTGGTGGGCAGCATCTATAGGCACTTGGCTGTATGTGGAGCATCACTGCCAAAGTAAGTGAAAGGAGCTTTTGTGTGTTCTTGGCTAATTTAGCATCCTATGGTGTGTATGCCATACTTTTCTTACAGGTTATATTTTCTCTTGTGTTATATGAGCGGTTCGTGGAGGACAAGATTCATCAGTTTGTTGACCTTTGTTCTTTGAGCAACGTGAGTTTCATATCACACTACCCTGAGAGACAAATGTTGGTCACACATCATTATCCAAAGTTGACTTGTAGTACTGGGGGAATTTTGTGGTCATCTGCTCTTGTGCAGGGTCACTAAATGAGAAGAGTTTTCAAACAGACCAGATCATGTATGCAAACTTTGCTAGGGCCTCTGTCCATTTTATGCAGAGCATTTCCAACCTGCTTTTCAATTGGAATATAATTTCCAAATCAAGTAGCAGCAATAATAATATATAGAACAACTATTTTAAAAGTATATTGATAGCAACAAAATAATAAACTTAGACACAGCATAAAAACCAGTTGCCAGGCACTTCCCCACTCTTAAACTTCTAGCAGTCAAGACTGCAATGTTGTAATATGGACTGCAGATTTTAAAACTTGTTTTGAAGTTATCTTTCATTATTGTTTACACTCTTCTTAATTATTGTTTGTGTTTTTAGAAAAATGACTTTCAAAAACTTTTTTAAAATCTGTCTCTCAACAATGTTTCTATCAGTAGATAAAAATGTCAAATAAATAAAAATGGAAATGAATACAACAGATTAAAAGCATTCAATAAACTACCCTGTTGTGGTTGTGATTGTGGTTGTTGTTGTGGTTGTTGTGTCCTGTCAAGATGCCTTCAACTTAGGGAGACCCTGTGAATGAGTTGTAGAAGGGGTAGCCGTGTTAGTCTGTGCAAGTAAAAAAAGATAAAAACGTGGTGGCACTTACATCTCATGAAGTGGACTTGTCCGTGAAAACTCACAATGACAAAAATGTGGTGGTCCTTACATCTGATGAAGTGGACTTGTCCGTGAAAACTCACATTAAAAATATATAAAGAAGTTAGCCTGTAAGTGCCATTATGTTCTTGTCCTTTTTCGCTCTTCATTTTTATTTTGGTTTTACCTGTAATGCCTGTGGCTGAGCCATCTCCAAAAGCACCCTGTCCTCAGCTGCCCTACTCAGCTCTTGCAAACCCAAGCTAAGTGCCACCATGTTCTTGTCCTTTTTCGCTCTTCGTTTTCATTTTGGTTTCGCCTGTAATGCCTGTGGATGAGCCATCTCCAAAATGCCCTGTCCTCACCTGCCCTACTCAGCTCTTGCAAACCCAAGCCTGTGGCTTTCTTAGGGGAGTCCGTCCATCTCCCGTTGGGTCTTCTGCTTTTCCTGCCACCTTCCACCTTTAGAAGCTCCATGTTCTTGTCCTTTTTCGCTCTTCGTTTTCATTTTGGTTTCGCCTGTAATGCCTGTGGATGAGCCATCTCCAAAATGCCCTGTCCTCACCTGCCCTACTCAGCTCTTGCAAACCCAAGCCTGTGGCTTTCTTAGGGGAGTCCGTCCATCTCCCGTTGGGTCTTCTGCTTTTCCTGCCACCTTCCACCTTTAGAAGCTATACTAAAATGCCTGGACATGTTTAAAAATGGAGTCTTAATCTGGTGCTTAAAACTGAATTGTGAGGGTACAATATATGTATCCCTGTGGTGTTACCACCATGCACACACATGCCCTACTATGTCAAGTATCGTTGGACTGTGCTAGACTGGAGTCTGAAATGAGCTCAATTAATGCACTTTTGATTGTAGGGCAACCTTGGAAATACTATTTGCCAGCTGTCATAATATCCTGTGTCATGTTTACCTCTCCCTGCTCCTGTAGGTGTCTGTGTTCATCTTGACCCACAGATGTTACGGTTTCTACATCCATGGGAGAAGTGTGCATGGAAATGCAGATGTTGATATGGAGACTATGCATTCTTACCTTAGGAAAGAGGAGGTACAAATGGCTACTGAAAGACCATAAGCTAAATTGAAGGGTATCCGGGGTAGGATGTATAGAAATTATTTATTTATTTATGTATTCACTCACTCTTGTTTCCTGCCTTTCCTCCAGTGAGGTTAAGGTGACACCTATTGCTTTTATTATTATTTTATTTAACTATGACTACACATTGGCTCTCTCATTACATTTGCCCCTCACTGTTCTGTCATAAGTTGAGCATTGTTCTCTGCTGCATTATTATTCCAGGAAATAAGATACAGTGGTGCCTCGCAAGACAATTGCCTTGCGATATAATTAATCCGCAAGATGATTAGTTTTTGCGATCGCTCTTGTGCTTCGCAAGATGATGGTTTCCTATGGATGATTTTCGCAAGACAGCAATTAGATTTCAACGCATTCCAATGGGAAACCACGTTTTGCAAGACGATGTTTTCACAAAACAGCGATTTTCACAGAACAAATTAACATCGTCTTGCGGGGCACCACTGTATAGGGGAAGGGTGTCTGGGATCAGGATGGTTTGAGCTATGGCCATCAGAGCTTAAGCAATGCTTACAGTAGGGGTCTTGAAAAAAATATTACTATAATAGCACTCTCACTGTCTTGTGTTTACTATCTGTACCTTTGTTTTAATTTTATCTTACAGGAAAACCTTTGTCCTCTTAGAGGTCTGGAGGCACATTCTGATGTGCAAACATTTGAGATGCTTCTCACTGACAGTACCCGAGCATTTTATGAGAGAATAACCCTAGCTTTAATGGAGGTAAAGTTTTTGATCCTGTTTTGCCAATAAGTGGTAGGGAATGCAATCATTTGTCTGGATAAATTTGCCCTTCTGTACATTCTTATGCCATACATTCTTATGGTCGCTGAGAGACTGGCTGTAAATCCATGTAGCAAATCATCCATCCATTTACTGCGATGCATCACAGGAAGCTATCTAGATTTTATGCTATCATTTCACCTGTTTGGTGCGTGTGACAGCAGCAAGATCCAAGAACAGCTTCCCAAGAATGGCAGACCCAGTTTGTTGGTTACCTAAATCAGAGTGTTGCCTGAAAGTTCTTGTCACTTTCTTTCCTCTTCTTTTTTAATTGCAATTTCTCAAACTACAGCTATGTTGGTCTGTTGCAGCAAAAACGGGAGCTTCTTTCAGCCTTTTTTAACTGCAATTTCTCAAACTACAGCTATGTTGCAGCAAAAACGGGAGCTTCTTTCAGCACCTTAAGATCTCCTCAGTTCTTCACTGCTTCCTAGTTCTTCATAGTGAGGACACAAGGCTTCATGTAGAGCAGTAATCTGTAGCAACGCCTGGCACCATCTTCTGGGAATAGAAAAGAGACATTATAGAAAACCTGTCTTTAGAAAAGGAAAAACCTTAAGAGCTGACTACTCTACGTATGGGCTGAGTTCCTGTCTCCTTTAGGAGTTTGTTGGTTCTTAGGACTTAAGCAGGGAGAATTCCATATGAATTCCATTTCTCCAACGTGAAAGTCTACTGGAATCATGTCTCTTTAACACTAGCATGATTCATCTAACAAGAGGTTATCTGTAATCCTATTTTACTTCAGAGAAAGTGGAATCGCATAAGTTATGGCAGAAAAAAAGCAGCTAGTTTGTGAGATGGCAGTCATGTCCCTCACTGAGTAACCAGGAGCATGATGGAACCTTGTTAATAAGCTGAAATTTTCCACTGCAACTTAATGAACTTCACTTGTTCAAGAGTATAAGCCATAGAGAGGTCTGTCCAATGTCTGTTTTTGCCCCGGGAAGCAAGATCCTTTGCAAAATGAATTAAAAGATTTCTCTTTATGCTGTTCCATAATCAAAATTAAATGGATGATGAAACATTCCTCCATGGTAGAAAAGGAATTTGCTAATGAAGAGGCAAGTACAGGGAGCAACTAGTAACAGGAGCTGCAAGAAACATGTTTTAAATACCCCCCCAAAAGCCTCAGTAGTACTCTGCAGCCTCAAACCGGATCAGCTAGCACAGAAACTGCATTTTAAATTAGGCTTGTTTTCCTTTGCACTGCACAGCACAAATCAGGTCTGGAAATGGATGGCAGGACCACATAAAAAATATGTATGAATGCCATGAATTGGTAATATTAATTTCAAACACCTTCAAAAAAGGACAAACGAAAGGCAGCCATTCAAGGCTAAATGCTAGCAAAAGCTTTTATGAACCAAAGTGGCAGATCAGATTAAGGGGGCTGTCAACCACAAAAGGGATGTGGTGGCGCTGTGGGCTAAACCGCAGAAGTCTGTGCTGCAGGGTCAGAAGACCAAGCAGTCGTAAGATCGAATAGCTTCAAAAAAGGACAAAGGAAAGGCAGCCATTCAAGGCTAAATGCTGGCAAAAGCTTTTATGAACCAAAGTGGCAGATCAGATTAAGTGGACTGTCAACCACAAAAGTTAATGTCATTTATGACAAATGTATTCATCTTTAAGATGCTACAGACGTGTTGGTTTTGCTTCTTGATCTGAAGCAAACCTCAGTTGCTTTTCCCTTAGTTTAGCTTGTTCAAGAACCACTGGCTGAAATTACGTTGCTTAGTGTAGTAAGTCACAGCTAGGGTAGGCCCAGTGAATCAATGGAACTTAAGGATAGCTTGTTCACACTGGCTGAAATTATGTTGCTTAGTGTAGTAAGTCACAGCTAGAGTAGGCCCAGTGAATCAATGGAACTTAAGGAGGAGTTAACTCACCAGATCCCCAGTGGGCATACTCTGTTTGCATCTTACTACACTAAGCAACAGGATACACTGGCTGAAATTATGTTGCTTAGTGTAGTAAGTCACAGCTAGAGTAGGCCCAGTGAATCAATGGAACTTAAGGAGGAGTTAACTCACCAGATCCCCAGTGGGCATACTCTGTTTGCATCTTACTACACTAAGCAACAGGATTTCAGCGGCTGGCTCTTAAGACTCCATGCAACCCTCCTGTTTTTCATCTTCCCACCACTCTTTCTTATTGAAAACTTCGTTTGCACAAGGTGAGATTTGCATTTTACTACATGAAGCAACAGGATTTCAGCCGCTGGCTCTTAAGACTCCATGCAACCCTCCTGTTTTTCATCTTCCCACCACTCTTTCTTATTGAAAACTTCGTTTGCACAAGGTGAGCGCCTCAGAGCAGCAGGTGAAAATTGGAAGAAATACATGAAAGTAATCTGTTTTTCTCCCAGTCCTCTGCACTGAGTCTTGAATTTTAACAGTCTGTTTAACTTTTCCTTTGGCAGGTTCCACAAGGAACCCATGTCCGGCCGGATCTCAATAAACAAAGAATGAAAAGCTATCATGCCTTGAACCGCTTTCTTATCTCCTTCCTTGAGCATGTGAGTGTTAGATTACTTTGTGTAGAAACTCGTTTCTGCTGGGGAATGTGTATCCAGAGGTGGAGTGGAGCCAGGGCCCTCGTGTTTTAAGGTCCTTTTGAATAGCCGGGACATCATCTGCCACACATATCCCAGACTTTCCTCTACCCACCCGCTCCTTAGCTTAGCTTCCCCAACTGGAAGGGCAGCAGATTTCCCCACAAACAGTGTATTGTTGCAAGCCAGCTGTTTTGCAGCACAAAGTATTGAAGGATTCTTTAGTTTTGAATGGGCAATCGAGAGCTAATTAACTCCTTATCGGTTGCTACAAACTGATCCAACTGCAAGCATTTTTGGACTCTCCTTGAGAGGGAGGTAATTTTACGTGGATGTCAGGATGAACAACGTCATTTCCAACTTATGCTCCACCGGTGATTGCATGCAGGGCTGCTTCCTAACAGAGTGGTTTGCTCTACAAACAAACAGTCCTAACTACAACTTCTAATAGATGAATGGGATGATAACAGGCCAAGTCATCCTGGAAGAGAGGCCTGTTACAGCTAAGTGAAATGCAGATGTGTGGAGGTGTCTGTAGTTGTGTGTCTGTGGGCAGGAAGTCCCAGAATGTTGAGTGGAGAATTCTGTGAGCTGAAGTCCAAACAACAACAACAACAACCCAATGTAAATGGTGTCCCTCTAATAGCTGATGAGGCTCAACTATGGTTTGTCATAATAGCTAAGTCAACAAACCATGGCTAGAGTTTGCTGGATTGAGAAACCATGGTTATGGCCATATTGTGAAAGGCGAGTTGCTTTACACGTGCTACTCCACTTCTTGAAGCATAGGGAGAGGAAACAGGCAGGGGAAAAAAATTTAAATATGGTTTAGGTGTGGTGTTGGAGCTGAGCTATTGTATATTATGAATGTGAATGCACAGCAAAGATAATCAGTGAGACCACAGTTTGGAAGTGTTGCTCATTTGATCTACTGCTTCCAGAATGCATTCTTTGCTGGCTGGGAGAATTTTGGGTTTCATTGTTTTTAAAAGCAACTTTTCCAACCTCTGAACAAGTCTGTTACATATGTAAAAGAAAGGGTCTTGTGTGGGTTGCCTTGCTACGATGGGCATGTTTTCTGGAAAACTCAAGAAATGGCTCTGAGACAGTTGATTATTGCTGATTGTCAATTCCTGCCTTTGTGTGTTTAAATTCGTTTATTCTCACGTGGACTCAAATGTGATTGCAACTTTATTTGGCTCATCCTGTCTTGGGGTAACTTTGACAAACTTAATTCTCTGCCTTCTCCCTTAGAGGTACAAAAATATGGACTATGTGGTGAAGGATAAATTTTTCCTGGAGCGGATTATGGACATGGAATTCCAGGAGCAAGGGGACGTGTCCATTCTCTACAATGGTATTCCACGTTTTATCCTGTAGGAATGGTTTGCAGGCTTCTTTGATGTCCTGTATTGGTCAATAAATAGAATGAAGACCTGGAATGTAAATAATTCAGAGCCAGAGTAGTTGCTGTGGGAGTGAAAATTAGGACTGATTACCAGTTCCAGACAAATGCTGAATTACAAATAAATTTGGAGGTATTTTTTGCTCATCTGGGAGTTCCCCAAAGGGAGGCAAGCAGCTCTGATTCTACTCCAGTACAAATAAGGACTGTCTCAGATTACAATGGAAACTGATTTAGAGGATTAAAAAAAGGGTTTTTTTCCCTTTCAAAATCATGCTTAAAAGTGGGGAAAGGGAAACAGAAAGTAATGGTACCATATACAGTAAGTAGACATTGAGCTAATGCCTGATGGTGAACGAAGATTGACAACTTCACTTCCCAAGGAAGGCCAAGGATATTTCCTTCACTCTGATTGTTCAGAATATGAGGAGGGTCCCAAGAAGAGGTCAGTTTGGGCTCATACGACATTACATACCACATTGTGAATTTCGTTGTATGGTATACCAGTTTGGGCTCATATGACATTACACGCCACATTTTCCCCCACTTAGTTTCAGTGCTTGATTAGCATAGGGTAGATGTTCTAAATTGCACTTAGTTTCACTGCTCGATTAGCATAGGGTAGATGTTCTAAATTGCATTGATATTTCTCCCTAATACTTTACCTTTATAAATATGTGTGTATGCTAACTCATTGGGTTTCTTTCGTCTTGTACAGACATTTGGTGGTAAATTAAGTTTTGGTATGGAAGAGTCTGTTTGTATTTCTAATCTTTGCCCCCGTTTACTATCTCTTAGCAACCAAATGTCGTCGCCCTTGAGAACTATAGCTTTGCATACAAATATTTTATTTGAAGTTCATAAGCACATCTCTTCAGTACAGGTGGTCTTCGTTCAAAATTTGAAATCTTGATTAGAAAACCCCAGTGGGAGCCTTCTCCTAGCGCTTCATGAAAATGTGGTAGCCAGTTCTTTTTGTGACTCAGGGCAATGGGTACTAGCAAATTATTCCCATGAGGAGAGAAAACGGAAAGGACAGAATATGGCACATTGATCCACTCCTTTCCAGCTGGTGGTGTGGGAAGACAGTCCCAACCCTTCCACGCTCAAAGGAAAGGATATTCATTAGTATGTTGAGTAGCGAAGAGCAAGGAGAAGCAAATGCTGAAATTGGCTGGTCCCTGAACCTGAAAAACTATGTGATCTACAATTTAGCAAAGGGAGAACTCCTGTTCACATCTGCTGTGCTGTGTTAATTCCCCCACGAATAAATAGCTGTTTGTAGCAAATGAGGATTTCTGGACCTTTGGCCACAGTCTTGGGTCACAGGAGGTCTAGTCAGGAGGAAAGTGGATCAGCACTTGAACTAGATTGGGAGACACAAGGACAGTCCAGATAGAAGCCCGTACTTCCTTCTGATGGCAGAAGGGTGGCATTTTAATAAATATATTCCTCCTTACCTAGATGACAAAGCACTGTTCAGCAGAACACTCTTCTACAACCACGAGCTGGCACTACTCCTCTTTGAAACCCTTCTCTTCTGTGCTGTGGATTTGGGGGCAAAAGACTTTGTGCTGGCCACAATTGTCACCTTTGTTGTACAAAAGGTAACAGGGCTTCTTGGCAGTAGGTATGGGATAAAAAGCCAGGGAAGGTAATGCTTTCATAATGTTCTTGAAATGATGCCTCCATGCCCATTAAGCAGTGAATGTTTTTCCCGCTTTCACATTTGTTATGAGAAAGAGAAATTCCTGGGTGCTGTAGCTCATGAAACTGGCAGGTCAGTAAGCGGGGGAGGAAAAGAGGGACTATGGCAGCTGGTCCCTAAATCATTTAATTGTTAACAGCTATAAGTTGCAGTGATGGCTGCTTGTATAGTGGTTTTAAAGAGTCGTTTCGACAGACTGTTGAAGAGTAGGTTAGTGCCTGTTAGTTGTGCTGGTTTCTAAGACGAGCTTAGGGAAAGTGCCCCCTCCAAATGTTTTGAACTACAGCTCCCATCAGCATAGCTAGTGGTGAAGAATGGTGAGAGGTGAGGGTTGCACATTGCTTATTCCTCCTGTTCAGAGACTCTAGATCTGAGATAGTGGCTGGCATCCTGTTGCACAATTTCATACCACCTTCTGACATTACTGTGCTGGGGGTGGGTGGTGGCGGGTGGCAGGGAACCTTGCAGTCAGTGGGTGAGGAGCTGGGGATCACTTTATGATTGCACAGTGGGCAAGACACTCTACTACATATGTTTCAGCTTCTGCAGATCCTGCGGAGTGCCCTTGGAAGGAGGAACCTGGCAGAGAAAACCTTGGTGGAAAAGCAGTTCCTGATCTAAAGCTGGAGGAGCAGCTGCAAGTTTAAGCTTTAGTGTGTGGAACTGATGTGAAGAATGTGGGATTTTGTATCTTTTAGTCCTTGGACTGTGGAGTCTGCATCTTTATTATTATTATTATTATTGAGCAAAAACTCCACTCTGGAACTGCTCTTGAATCTGAATTTAACCTCAGAGCATCTGAAGTAATATGTGGTGGGTCTTTGTTGCCAACTATCTTTCTCAGCATACCAATGAAGGGTGATGGTTTCACTTTTTAAAAAAATACATATATATTTATTGTATTTTTTCTACTTTTCAATCCATTGCAACCAGAGTGATTTATTACAATATATTCCATTCAATTAATCTTATCTTATACTCTCTAACATAGTATTGATCTAATCTATTCTACTTAAGTTGATGTAGATTTCATCCAGATATAAAGAGGTTCCCATTTATTATTGTCCAGTCTGTCATTTAATGTTTCTGTCAAAATATCCATTTCTGCTAGTTCCAAAATCATCTCAATAAATTCCTTCATTGTCGGAATCTCTTCCATCTTCCACTTACTGGCATATACAATTCTAGCTGCCGTTATAAAGTATAAAGTCAAGTAGGTCTTGTTTTTTTCAAGTACAGGTGGTAATATATTCAGTAAGAAGCTTTCTGGTGTCAAAACAATTTTAACCCCTAAAATTTTCTCTATCATTTCATGAATCATTTTCCAAAATTCCTTGGCCTTGTTTTGTAGATGGCATGTAACACTGGAGAAATTAACAAAAATGTATAAAAATGTTTCTAACAAATCACATGTGGTGGATGTGCAGTTTCACATACGTTAAATGGGGTGGCTTCCTGGCAGACACCAATATGAACACTTCTTGTACCAGAAATTTAAGCTTAATTCACTCACCCTTGGGAGTGAATTAGTCCAAAAGCTTTTCCACTAAATGGTCCAACAAGAGGTTCAACTCACAATTTTATAAGCTTTGGGATTCAGTGAGATACGATGGGCAGACTTTGAGAGTGAAAGGGAAGAAGGTTCATGTTCCACTCCAATGTGGAGTTTGTGGGATAATCTTGGACCTACCACTATCTTTCAGCTTTACCTAAATGTCTGGGCTGTTGTGTAGATTAAATTTGATCAATTTGATTTATGCATCTTTGATTTCCTTAGTGAGAAGGCAGGATAGAAAAGTAAGTAATAAAATAAAGAAGCGTGTATTCAACAGTGATGAGACTCTTGTACTGTGGATGTTAGCGCCCAGACAAGATTTATGATGGTCTAAATGTCAATGTAAAGATTTACAGTATATGAAGCAAAAATGTCCAGTGTTCAAGCTCAGTTCCAAAGCAGGAAGAGACACCAAAGATCATATTGCAAACATGAATTGATTATGGCAGTGTACGAAGGGCTTTTGCAATAAGATCACTCTGTGCATTACAGTTAGCCTGATGAGACATTTTTGTCAGTGTTGTATCTTTCAAAAGCTACTAAACTTTGTTATCTGAACTGATATCTGTGAAGATTATCAGTCATCCAGGTTATCTGGAAGTTGAGTCATGGCAACTGGACTTTGTTATTAGGCTGAAACGTTTCTCTACTCACCCAAGTGGCTTCTTCACTCTGAGGAGAGTGGGTAGGAGACCCTTGATATATCCTCCATGTTGGTTTCAGTTTCCCCTGGTCTGAATAGGTTTATTAGATAGACAAAGGACTCTGGGTGAGGGATAATCCCACTTCTGCAGTCCTCCACCCATTGTGGAGAATAACGACCCATGACAGCTGATGTTTTTAGCTGATTTAGTAGCTAGTACTGTTTGTGGATGTACCCCCTTCCTTTAAGTGTTCTTCAATTTCTTTTATATTTTAGGATGCAGATGATGGTGATGACAATTCATTGCTAACTACTTTATGTTTTGCAGACTAGCAGCCTATAAATCTTTAAAATGAATAAATGTTCATTCTCTGCCCTAGTTGTTTGTGATATCACTTAAAATTCCCTTTGCTTTTATCTCTTATGAGAATTTTCCTTTCATATATATGGATCCTCGTACACAATGAAACACCATGTGTTTGTTTGATCATCACTTTTTCCTTTCTTCTCTGACATTCCTTCCTGTGTTTTTCTTCCCTGCCCCCGAACAACCACTCCAGCAGCTGTATCGTACATTCCTATGTGTCAGGACAGCTGGGAGATTTTGTTTTTACTTTTTCCCAGCAGACAAACTCCGTGTCCTTGGGTCAGGGATAGGCAAAGTACAGACTTCCAGATGTTATTGGTCTGCTCCCCCCATCAGTTCTAATCAGCATGGTCAATGATGAGGAACGCTGTGAGTTATAGCTCAACAGTGCCGAAAGAGCCATGTTTTGCCCATCCTTGCCCCAGCCTCATAAGCCGCCTAGAGTGGACGAGCCGCCCAGATAGGCGGGGTATAAATCAAATAAATAACTAAAGCAAAACCCCAGTGGGAAGGAGAGATGGGCAAGCACAAATGCCCCCTTTGCTTTCTGTTAGGTAAGTTAAATTGCATGCTACCAATGACCTCCGGCCCCAGGCACCATCGCCTCTGGGACTTTTGTTTCCTGTTCTGTTGAATCAAGTACACAACCAAACCTGGAATGGATGCTCTCTAGTTCATAGCTTCTGCAGACAGTTGCTGGAGCAGAAGCTAGGATATTAGCAAAAACAGGGTTAGAGAACCTTTCTTCTGTGTCCCAGCCCACTTTTTCTTAAAACTCATCAGTTGTGGGTCAGGTGGGGCGGAGTGAAAACCCAAAGAAGGTGAGATCAGCCCCTGCTCTTTCTCCTTTTCCTCTCTCTCTCTCTCTCAACCTTGCGCTCTCCTTCTGTGCCAAACAGGCATATCTCACCTTTGGGATACATCATCTTTGCCAGAGGACTGGAGATACTGCATACAGAGGATGACTTCCGAAATTAACCTGAGGGTTGGGGACTACTACAGGCTGCCTACCCTACCCTCTGGCAAGAATCTGCTCCTTAGTGGAAGAGATGTTGTAGTTTTGTCCAGGAAAACTGCATAAGGATTCATCAACTCACTGATGCTGCTGTTAAATTGAAAAAGAAGCTAACTTTGGTGTGGGTTCTAATTAAGCACTTAACGAATTTAGTCTCTTGTGGATTCAAAAAGGGGCTACAGAATTTTGAAAAGTAACTTTTACACCCACGTTAAAGAAAATGGGTAGCACTCTTCTTATTTTGTCTGAGCTCCCCATTGGCACACCTGGGTGCAACTACATGCACATCAAGACCAAGCTAGTGTGGGCCACTTTACAATGGCCTGCCTTCTTACCCAACTCCCTGGCACTGAACCTGTGCCAGGTAAATGGCTCTTCAGCCTCTTTAACCCTTTCCACAGTACCTCATCTGCAGCATCCACCAAATGGCATGTCTCTGTCTCCCCACAAGGGCTGAAAACATGGTATGTATGTATGTATGTATGTATGTATGTATGTATGTATGTATGTATGTATGTATGTATGTATGCATGCATGCATGCATGCATGCATACATGCATTCATTCATTCATTCATTCATTCATTTCTCAAATTTCTCCCTCAAAAGGGATTCACAATAATATTAAATAATAGAGGAATACTATAAATACACAAAACATGGACCAACTATGAAAACAGAATCAAATTAAAAGCACAATTTAAAATGTAATTTGGAAACCTATCTATAAGGTGTGCGGAGGAGCTGCCCAAGGCCAGCAGGACATTTTCAAACTGCTTGTAGACCTTCAAATGGCTCACCTGAACCACTGTTTTTTACTGTCTGTTGGTTATTCAATCACAGATCAATGTGGCATATCTTATTATGGTGCCAAAAAGTGTAAGCAACAGGATGAATTAAGAATAAAGAGGAACATATGATTCCCTTTTTCATAAAAGTAAAAATTTGGGGAGTCAGGTCAGTGGAATTTAGTGCGGTGATGAAAAGTCATCCTCTGTATGCAGTATCTCCGTATGCAGCCTCTTAACCTCTTCCAGTTAACCAATGGAAACCACTATAACTGGATGTCTTTCTGGTCACTGACACAAACTAGGTGTGTGATAAAGGACTAGATAAACTTGATGAAAGGCTTGTCAAATGGGTATGAGCCATGACAGTTAAGAAAACTCAAATGCTTGAACACTTTGAGAATCTGCTTCATAATTCTACAAATGGAACATTCCAAGCAAGAATTGTGATAAGATGGACTTCAGCTCCTGGAATTCACCAGCCAGCATGATCACTGAGAGTTTCAGTCCAAAAAAGTAAATTTCCCAAGCACTGACACTAATTGGCTGGCTCTTTAAGTAAGTATACATTCTATATCCTATAATAAATGGTTGCTTCCTTTGGAATAGTGCTATGATTTTAGTGAATACTTACACTGTCAAGTTGATTCTGACTTGTGATACTAATGAAGGTTTTCTAAGTACATTAATACCCAGAAGTATTCATTCCCTTCTTCTGAGGCTGCTCTGGAACTCTGCAGCTTAGCCAAAATGGCTGTTCACACAGGACACACAATGGGGAATGGAACTTCCAACCTCTGACTCTATAGCCAGCTACCAAACTCCCTGAATTCTTTTAGGAACTAACTATTCAAAGAAGAATGTGTCTGTATCTCTTCAATCTGTGACATTATGGTGGGGCTGGCAGCTCCTGACGCTGTGCAGTTTGGACATCAATACTGTGAATACACTCGTCCGTAAGGCAGACTATGTTCCTCTCAACAGATAAATAATGTTGGGTTTATTATAATCTGTGTACTCGTATGTCTAATTCTCCTAAGTAAAAACAGAGCCTGCATATATGATTAAAGTGCCATTATACGATCGTCCCACATTATTTAGAAATAAAATTTTGAAAACCAACATTCTTATATTAATGTGTCTCAAGATTATGGACAAGAGAGATGGGATTGACTTAGAATGAAAAACAGAATGAAAACTAAAGTTAAATTCTGGAATACAGAAACAAACGCAAACCAATATCATGTATAGAGGCAGTTGTTGTCATGCTGTTCTGCTGGCTACTTTCCGAATCTGTGTATATTCAGTGTTGTCTACATCTTGCCACTGGCTTTCTTCAGAATCCTCATCATCCTCCACTAGTGTCAGCTTCTCAAGAGTATTTTGGATGGTCTGAAGTGAAACAAAGTGTAGATTATCCACACTGTCAGTCTAAGGGTTAAACTACCGTGTTTTCCCAAAAATAAGACAGGATCTTATATTAATTTTTGCTCCAAAATGCATTAGGTCTTATTTTCAGGAGATGTTTTATTTTACAGTCATGTCATCTGGCTGCTGCACAAGGATGGAGGGTGGGTTTCACTTCACTGGGGCTTATTTTGGGGGTAGGTCTTATATTTCAAGCATCCTGAAAAATCATACTAGAGCTTATTTTCAGGTTAGGTCTTATTTTCGGGGAAACAGGGTAGAGATTAAGTCAGGCACATATTCTCTACCACTAACATCCTTTTCCTCCAGCAACAGATCTCCTCAAAGACACACTCCTCAGCAATCAGACTTGCAGAGTAAGCCCATGTTTAACTCCCAGCAACCAATTACAAAAGAAAGCCCACTGGGAAGTGAGGGAAAATACGTTTGGTGACAAATGCATATTTACCACCACTTGAGGGAGCACCCCTTCTAAAAAGGTACTCAGCTTTTGCCATTTTTGACCCTCTGGATATTGTCCCTATGAGAGACAACCTTTTTATAGTATGTTGACCATGTTGGAACAGTTATTACTCCATACTCCAACATTTCTTGCCCTTAAAAATAGTTGGTTAACTAGCCTTCTGTGGACTTAGTCTTAGAGACACAGACATGTCCTTATACCCAATGAGTTCATTTATCCATCTAGCCAAGTATTTTCCATTTTGACCGTAGCTCTGGTTTTCTCCTACATCAGACTGCAGGGGTGCCCTTACCATTAGGCACAGGGAAATACTTTTAATATCAGGGGAAAAGCACCAAATGGTTAGGTACTTGATTTATTATTATTATATTTCAGAACTTTGAAAATTTCTTGTATGGACTAAAAATCCCTGAATCCCCCAGCCAGCATGACCATCACTAATATTCCCAAGCTCTGTTTAAGAGAAAGAGCTGCAGTTAGTGAGTTCTATTGCTTCTTGACATACAGTAACCCCTCACCTCCGGGCTATCTCATGACTTTTTGCTGCCTTTACCCGAAGAGACCATGGTGGTCCTCATCCCCTTTCCAGCTACAGAAGCCAGCTGGTCTAGAAGCTGAATCTTACTTCAGCTCTTCTGGTGATGAGACAGCATCTTCCAGCTGACCTGAGGGCAGCAGACCGATCTGGGCCAAACAAAGGGTTTCCTGATCATATTGTTCAGTCCTTCAGCATAGGAAATCAGGCTGCTAGCTACTACCTTGCTGCATCAGCCAATATCTTCATGACCCCCTGACAGGTCTGACAAGAACCTGAGTAGAATTGTTAATGCAGTTTTGTAAAACCACATGTAAGAACTTATAAATGCTGTAAGTATTTGTAAGAATCACTGTAAAGAAATACTGTAAAATACTGATTTAGACAGCTGTGAAGGAACAAGATAAGTAGTAAAACTTGCAACAGCTGTGTAAGGAAACTAATGATTGGCTGAAGGTGGAATAAAGCCAGCAGTTCCAGCCTTCAACCTTTTGGTGTGGATCTGAGGAGTAAGGAGGAATGCTGTCAGATGGCTTTAACAAGGACAAAGATTTACTGGACTGAACCTATTGATATTGCTGCGCATGACCAAAGGACTGAATAAGGACTATGCTGTATGTATGAGCCTTGCTGCAAACAGCATTTTTACTTCATAGACTAACTAGGTGGATTCAAATTAGATTGCAATATTTTAAATTATTATTGATTATAAATTAGCTTCAGAAATGAAACTCCAGCATGGAGGTTTATTTCCAGTCACTGAACAACAAGAATTCATTGGCACAGAAGGTGTTTTAAAGATGCAGCTTTGTGCAGTGAGGTTTGGGCAGGATCCCCGGGAAGCCCTGTAATCCATCGGATCAAATGTTTTGCCTTCTGGAGCAGCTCTGAATTTGAAATTATGATTAGTTATGACAGTTATCTCCTTCTTACCTGTGTTCCTGCTGACCATGGGATGGTAGAAGATGGGCTTGTTGATGTGACTGGTCTCGCCTCATAGAAGGTCCCAGAAGCGATGCGTATTTTCTCTCTGAAATCCTAACAACACAATAAATCTTTAGATGGGTCAGCTCCCCCAAAGTCTTCCTGCTTAGGGTCATTCTGTATTTCTGCTGTGGGACTACTGCCTATTTATAACTTTTAAGGACCTGTTCATATTTTAGAAGTCTTGTCCATCACAGCTAGGAAATGAATTATAGCCTACTAGATTCTTCATTTATTTATTTGTATTTGAAGTGAGAATGGTGTATCTGAATGAGTTTCAGTGGTACTGCCCTGAGTATGATGTGTGTATGGGAGAGAGGTAGTTCTGAAGACAACAAAAAACAAGCACAAGTATGCTCTGAAAATAAAAACTGATTTGCTGGAATAAAGTGCAGATTGTGTTTGTCATTCTGACTTTGAGAGCTGTAGTGGATATATGAGTGATTTAATAAGGTATAATTATTGTGAGACCTCAATAAAATGCCAGCCAGCTCTGCTCTCAATAATAAACCATATCATGTATGTGTCTAGGTAACTATGACGATACTGGATCAAAATAAACTTGTTCAATTCATGTGGCTTTTGGGCATGGAAAATTGCTGGATTAAATGTACAAAGCTTTGATGACAAGATGGTAACTTCAGGACACAATGGTTAGCCGCCTAGAGTGGTCTTAAGTGATTAGATAGGCAGGAAATAAATAAATAAATAAATTCCAGTGATCCCACTTGGCATGAGTTACTTGTCAGTGAGGTTGTCACTCATTCTCTTCCAAGCTGCATATGAAAACCCAAATGCCAACAATTCCCTTTTTGCCCAAAGAGCTAGCATGGCAGAGGAAAAGGGTGCCATCCAGCTTTCTATCAGATATACAGTAGTAGCATCTCTTAAACATGTGCTCTGGCTATATGCAGATGTTAGCACAGATATTATTTTTGTAATGCAGCAATCTTCGAATTGTACACATTAACATATTTTGCTAAATGGTCTAGTCACCTTGTGGACTTTAACCAATGGCCAGTGATTTTCTGCATCCTTATGGTGGTTAAATGATCAACACTGGAGGGGCTTATGCTAACCCTTAATTAGTCGGCAGCCTGAGGACCGTAAATATCTTTCAGCATTGGAACATGGGGCATCCATAGATGGCAACCGCAAATGGGTACCTAGTTGGAGAGTTGGTCACCTTTTATTGAAGTTTATGGACACTGGAATTTCAAAAACAAAACAGTTATTGCTTTTCTAAATGCTGGCTAGCTCAGTGGTTGAGGTCTCTGGCTGTGGAGCCAGAGGCTGGGAGTTCAATTTCTGGCTTTCCCTCCCTTTAATAATAATATATATTTTTTAAAAACGGGTCATTTATTTCTTGCTTTTCATTTTCATTCTCAGCTTAAGGTGTTTTTTTCCTTGTTCTTTTATAAATGAGGACTATTTGTTTGTTTTCTATGCCGCCTTTCTCCCAATTACAGGACCCAAGATAGCTTGCAAATTGTTAAATGACCAAGCCAGTTTAAATAAATAAATAAATACATGCATGCATTTCATATTTTAAAAAGACACTCTTTTTCAAGTCGGAGTTAGCCCTGCCTGGGAAGGAGTAACAGGTGTATGGCATCCAAAGCTAGGTGTTTTGACCTTTAAGGCAGAAAATACCACAGCTGCTTTTCCCTCTCACTGTGGATTAAAATTACAATAATAAATGAAATAACTGGGTCCCCTTTCACGGCGCTCACCAGCTAGGGCTTGATGTGGTCGGAGGACTGAGCTTGCACGGGGAATCCACGTCACGAGGCCTGGCCAGCCCCATCAAGCCGTTCCTAAAGTGGCACAGCCCCAGACGTGGGTTCGTTTGTTATTACCTCAGCAAAAACTGACTGAAAACTGGATGTGGATTTCTTGGCCCTGCCTGCACACACGGACGCCGCAATGGCGCTGGTTGAGGCAAAATCCTTCCTGTCCTATTCAGGGAGGCCTAGCGGTCCTGGGGAGGCCTCAGCAGGCTAACAAGGGCGCAAGGCCTTCTGAGAAAGACTCGAAGGTGAATTTGAAGAATTTTGTGTCTGTTTGGTTTTTTTAGTTAGACAGACTGCTCATTATGGTCATGTTTTTCTGTAGCAACTGCTGATAGAATGTGTCTCCACAGAGTGAAACAAAATGTTTCTTAGTAGCCTCAGGCTTGGATAATAAGAACATGACTTTTTATTTTTTGCCTCCTTTCTCTCTCTTAATCTTGTTTGTGGTAGCCTTCCACTGTGTTGCTCGTGTTTTCAACTGTATTTCAGAACAAACATTCTTGTTAAGAATGTCTTTGTGCTACCTCGGTTGTTGTTGTTGTTTTGTGGGAAATCATCTTTTTAAAAAATCCAAGGCAGAGAAAGGCAACATGAGATTTTGTTTTGAAATAAAAGACTGCAACAAAGTGAAAGGAAGCCACAAACCAAAATAAGGTTACTTCCTCTTCCTTTTGTAATCAAAAAATGTAACTGTGAAACTGAGCTATCCAAGGCTCCTGCTACTAAAAACATTTTGTTTCACCCTGTGGGGGATACATATTCTACCAGTAGTTACCACAGAAAAAATAAATATGGGTTAATTTTTTTCCCTTTACCATGGGTGGGGGGGAATATATATTTTTTCCTTTCAATATCTTTACTTGTCTGTGTGTTTTAGAAAGACAGGGAGATTTTTTTTTCAGTGTGAATTTTGTGGTGGTGGGGTTTCTTGTTGCAGTGGTGGGCTAAAGACTACAAATAAATACAATTTTGTTTTTCCGATTGTGGTACCTCAAGATCTTTTTCTGCATTGTAGCTTTCAAGATTTTGGAAGGCGTTGGAATAGACCTCCAGAGCTTTTGCATGGAAGGCCATCTCAATGGTAACAAAATCCAGGAAGATCTTCTGCAAGGAAAAAAGACCACACAACCTTATGTGAGTTTTTTGCTTCTTTTTTTTTAACCCATGTAAATCTCTGAAATCACATCGTTCAGGGAGGAATCTCGAGAGACTTCCAACTGTGTATTAAAGGTCCATTTTCTCTATTTCCCTCAAACAGCCAGTTTGGAAATCCATTTTTCCTCTCTCTTCAAAACTTTAAGTACTGTCCTTTAATAGAAACTCCACAGAGTCCAGACAGGCAGGATGCAGTGTCTGTGAACTTCTGCTTGAAACAGTCACAAGACTGGGGTTGAAAATTTCAGAAATGGACTGAAGTATTAAATAGTTCATGTACCCTTTATATCAAACACTGATTTGCCCGGATTATGGTCTGTACTCAGATGTCTGCAGCATCTCCTGATTAGTCCAATATAGGTATCATTTTCTAGTAAAGCAGCTCACAATGTCGCATATTGTGCAAGTGCACATTATGATGTTAGGCTTCAATCTCAGAATGCTGTTGGTGCCGAGAAGGATGAACGCTCATCCCAATTTCTTTTTGTTTTATCTTACTAAACAAAATCATACAAATATGAAAACATCTAATAATACATAATAAAAACTCTGTATATGGTGCTCATCCAAGTTTCTTTTAATTGATGGAAGTGGTGTTATGAGGAAAGGAACTGAGAAACCACAGGGCCTTACTGAAAGAAACCCCAGAATGTACAGTGGTGTTCACAATATCTTAATGCTTTCTGTGGCCATGTACTGTGTATGTAAAGTTTGGGGAGGAAGGCTCTCACAAAGTCTAATGAAACTTTCTTCCAAATAAATATGTGGGAAGACCAGAGCCTTAAAAGCCCTCAGGTGAGGCAGCCTGAAAGCATCACCCCCAAGCAAAGGGGGAAGAAGAGGGTATCCTTATTACCTGAATATCTTTTAGCTTCTGCCTCTGAAACTCATCTATAGTCTCTTCAAGGTGCCGGGTGCTTCGACTGGCATCAACAGAGGCTTTGTGTACTTGAGATTCAGCCTAGGCAAAGGACAGGGCATGATCTCTGTGAGATTGTTCCTTTGAACTCAAAAAATCATTACATTGCATAATACTAATCCAGGAAGGCAAAGCATCTGCAGCTGAGTAGAGAATGAGGGTGAAATGCAAGAAAGTTTACAGTGTAAGTAGGGGAGATATGGCTCTGTAAGGTTTCTGTAAGAAAGAAATAATTAGAAAGGTCAAAAGCACCATCCCAAGAAAGTTTACAGTGTAAGTAGGGGAGATATGGCTCCCTGGATATTGCTGAACTACAACTCGCATCATACCTGATCTAATGAGTCAGTCCAGCAAGATCTGGTGGGTCACCACTTCCCCACCCAGTATTACAATATATACAGTAATGTATAATCTTATATGTACATACCTTCTTTGAAATAAGCCCCTTTGAATTCAGAGAAACGTATTTGCAAGTAGATATGTGCAGATTTGCCTTTTACTTGTCTTATTTGGCTAGATCAAGACTGAGAAGTATGTATTTTTTTTAATTTCCCATTTTGAGTTACATTCCCCTCATTAATCATCTGTTGGGTGCTGTTTACTGGAATGGGCAGAGCTAAAACCACTGAAGAGTGGATTCACAACTCAAATAAGCAGGACAGCCACTGCTTTGTCTCTGTCCCCTTTTATTTTTTTATTCTGCCAGTCGTCTGTTGGAGGGGGGAGAAGTTGTTCATACTAGAAGTCTGAAGTGACTGCTTGCAGGGAGGCTATTAAAATTAGGCTGTCTGCCCTTTGCCACAGAGCCTCCAGCAGCCCATCACCCTGGGAGAGAAGATAATATGTTAGAGGCCAGGTAAAGTGTCATTAGAGCTGAAATTATGTTAGTGTTCAAAAGATGAGAACCAAATCAGTCTTGCAAAAAGAAGGCTGTTGACTGGAAACATGCCTTCAGTTAAGCTACCAGATGTGGCCACTAGAGTTCCCGGAGACTTTGCTATATAGAGAGTTCACTATTATCCACGGTTTCTGGCATCTGCTAGGGAAAGCTTGGAACCAATCCCCTGCAGATACCATGGTCTTACTGTATATCAACTGTGAGAGAACATGACACAGAAGGTATCATTGCAGTTTTGTCCTGCTAAAAGGATCTTCACAGACAACTGATAGCCCACTGTGTGATCAGAATGTTGATTCTAAGCAAGCCTTTACTGTATCCAGCTTGGCTCCTTATTTAAGTTTGCAAAGGTGTAAATGCCTTTCTGAGTCTTGACCCATATGAACCAGTATGAACTGGTATAGCGTAGTATCTGGCATTGTGAAAAATTATATTCTAGGATGTTCTGGGAAGTTCAGATATTATTTCAGCCATCAAGTGCATTGACAAATAATGTGGGGAATGCTGCAGGATACAGTCTTATTTACATTATTTCAATTGACTACATTATGCAAACTACACTGTGAGTGAGCCCAGTTTCCCCCCTCTAAATCCATAGTTTTTTTCCCCTCCACTGCTGGGGCTTCTACTTTTTTGAATCAAATGTCTTCATCTCAATTCAGGCACTGTGATTACTTAAGCCAAAGCCATTCTAATTGGCTCCACTAGTGGTAGGAGAGACAGGGCTACAGGAAATCAGCTGTTGTTTGAATCCTCTCCTCCTCATACCTGCTGCCTGGGTCTGCTTTGATGTTCCTTCCATGTTTCATTCTATTCCTTTTCCTTCCTCTGAAGATGTGCTAATTAACACTGGCCAAGCAAAGGGGGAAGAAGAGGGGGTTGCTTCTTAAGTCAGTTTGATGGGGCTGCTGGCGCAAACATCTTTCTAATAAAATAATTAGAAAGGTCAAAAGGACCATCCACCATGGAGTGCAGGTTCTCCACCCTTCCCTCCTAAAACTGTCTGGGACAGCTTTGAACTCTGCTAGGCTGCAGAGACCATGGACCTTAATTAACATGACCCCGAGCAAGACAATGGGAGGACTATGATTGCATCAGGTGTGGGGAGACAGGGATTCAAATGGTTAACAAGCTACAAACAAGGCTAATTTCCTCCCCTGCTTTTGGTCACTTCTCTATGGTCAACTGAAGCAACTTAACCACAGAGCTACAGAACAGGATGCTGGCCTTTGTGTTGCTCAGTAATTCTTGGCAGCCAGGTTGTCATTAGTGCTGTTACTGTTTCAGTCATATATAACGTAATTAATCTCTCTCAATATGTACTGTTTTGTGTTATTACTAGTAGATCAGAGAAATACCCTCTAGTAGCCATATCTGATACTGCACTTTACAAATATTTACCAAAAGGCAAAACTGAATTATGCTTCTTGCTACTGAAGGAAGACCAAGAAAATATCATGCCTTGAGAAAAACCTGTAAAATGCCTTTTAAAATTACCTTTAAATTCCCTATAAACGTAACCTTTTACTATACATAGGAAATGATATTTGTTACACCTAATTTAGTTTCCCCGTGTGGTGTAGCGAATAGAGCGATAGACTAAGATTATGGAGAACAAGGTTCAAATCCTTACTTGTTCATGGGAACTCACTGGGGGAGTGGAACTGATAAAACCACTCCTTAAATACGTCACTTACCTTGAAAACCCTGTTAGGGTTGCTACGTATAAGTCAGTTTTGACTTGACAGCGCAGAACTCACACACATGCCTCATTCAAAGTTTGTCTTTCCTTGTTATATGACTTTTACTGTCACATTGTAATTATTTGTTAAACAGATGGTTGCCCCCCCAAAAAAACAACTTTTGTTGTTGTTGTTTAGTCATTAAGTCGTGTCTGACTCTTCGTGACCCCATGGACCCTCCTGTCTTCCCGCAGTTGGGTCAAATTCATGTTGGTCGCTTCGATGACCCTGTCTAGCCATCTTGTCCTCTGTCATCCCCTTCTTCTCTTGCCTTCACACTTTCCCAACATCAGGGGCTTTTCCAGGGAGTCTTCTCTTTTCATGAGATGGCCAAAGTATTGGAGCCCCAGCTTTGGGATCTGTCCTTCCAGTGAGCACTCAGGGTTGATTTCCTTCAGAATGGATAGGTTTGTTCTCCTTGCAGTCCAGGGGACTCGCAAGAGTCTCCTCTAGCACCACCATTCAAAAGAATCAGTTCTTCGACAACTAAAAAATTACAGGTAATTCCTTATTTGTAAGTAGTTGCTTCCAGGTTATATGTTAGGGAATATCCAGAAGTTGCTTCAAGAGAAAACATTACTAAATTAATAATGTGAATGTAGTCCAAGTGTTCTTCCCTAGTCGGCCTTCTTTCCTGAAGTGAATGGGAAACAATTGCTATGTTCCAGTATTGTCGATTTCAGTTTCACTTTCATTTCACTTCACTAATGTTATTGTGCACATTACGGTTGTCTTACTCTAAGAGAAAATCCCTTACCTGTGTCTGAGAACAGGAGTCAAGGAAGGCAAATGAGGAATAAAGAATCTGTGTGTTTCATGACTGCCTGAAAAATATATTTAAGCTGTATCTTAGTGGTTGTACATGACTAGGAGCTACATGTAGGCGACTGCATGCAATTCCTAGTCATGGTAAGACAGAAGGAGGTGCTCTTTATTGATCAAAAGGACTGGAATGACAATTGAGCTTTGTAGATTGGTAAACTGTTGCCTTGAAGCAAGAGAAGAGAGAAGACAGAGACTAAAGAAGATAATATTCATGGGACAATCTTATCTAAGCTGATTTGACTAGGTGTCTGCTCTATCTATGTAAAAAAATTATTATAGTTGAAACAGATTTTGTCAATGATCTGAAGCACTAAAAGGATGCAAGACTCAATATAGCCACCAGAGGGCAATCAAATCCATTAACAAATTACAGACGATTGCACTGAGGACAGAAAAAATCTGAAAAAAATCAATTTGATGGATTTTATGACAGCCTTCACCAACAAGGACCTGCAGGTGTGTTGGGTTACAAACTCCATCATCCACTGACAGAGCTTAGAAAACTTACATTTGGGTCTACTACTTCCAGAATCCACTCCCCAGACTGACCACTGGCTACACTGCCTGGGGGATTTTGAAGCTGAAATCCTGTTGGGCAGTTATGCAAACATCATAACCTTTGGAAATGAACTGTTCAAAATTAAGAAATCTTTGGACATTGTCTGTTGCATAGTGAGTCCTGCGACTCAGATGATGTAAATGGAGATGTCTTGACTTAACTTACAGCAATTTGCCTTGAAAAGCTGCACAGTTTGTATAACTAACTGTACAACAGGATTTCAGTCTAAGAGTTGCCATCTAAAAATATGTTTTTCATGCTGCTGCCATTTCTCACTGTAAGATACTTCTTGTAATTTTGCTTGGAGTGCTTTCTGGCATTGTTGGTTAAAAAATTGCTGTGTAGCTATTTTGTTATACCTACCTACCTACCTAAGAGGAGGATGGTAAAAGCAAGGGAGTTAAAACCAGGCAGTTAAAAGTGGAAGCTTATATTGGAGGATGGTAAAAGCAAGGGAAAATACCAGGCAGTTAAAAGTGGAAGCTTATATTGTCTGGAATTCCCCATGTTAATTCCAAACAGTCCTTTGAATGAGGCAATGATTGTGTGGCAGAAGCCTCATCTGGAAATACCCCTTGTCCCAGATGCACAAGTGATATTCTTGATATGACCCAGAGGATCAGGCATTACTATGTTCAGCTCATCCCACTGCCTAGAAAATCTCACTGGCAAGAGAAATCTATAAAATACTTGAAGTGTTTCTGTAGATTCCCCCCCCCCCAAAAAAAAAGGCATTCAGTGAGTGGCACTATAAGGAAAAGAGTCTAGGAGTAACAGGTGGATGCTTATTCATACTACTGCAGATGTAAGGGAAAGGAGAGGGGTTGAAATACTGTAGATTCTGTCAAACATTGACAAACTGCTGGGGTGGCAGAATGGTTGTGTCTCATAACCCCAAGCAGGTGATGGTGTGACACAGCTTGCACGTATGATGTTTCTGAGCTTCAGCTCTGAGAACGTCCCGGCCAACATAGCCATTATGGGAGCTGTCATCTAGGGGGGAAAATAGCTAAACCTTTCAAACCTTTCAAATCTTTGCCCCCCCCCCACATACACACACCAATTCCCAAGTTTGGGGATTCCTGAACACAGATATTCAGCACAGTCTAGTAGTTTTAAAATATTTTACAGGATTTCCTTCATTTCGTTGTTTTATGATTTTTTAAAGGTGTTTGATAACATAGGGATTGTGAATTATACAGTACTATATGGTGTAGTTTAACAAGAGATGATTTAGAGTGACAGCTTTTCTGCCCAGCATAATTGCCCTCTCAGCAACTGTGTGGCAGGAACTAACAGACCATCAAAAAAACTCCCCTAGAGATTCTTTCCTAAGGATTTTCTGCTGAGAGCATCTCCCTTTGGGAAAAATATAGTAAGGGGGAAGAGAGACAAAGAAGAAACTTTAAAAAAAAAACTTCCTTGGATTATCCTGATGCCTCTTTCCCCAACAGAGTTCTTTCTTATCCCATGGGTAGGTGTTTGTGTGAAGAAATAAGGTTCCTGCTTCTCTCAAGTTTCAAGCATCCTGATGCTAGTAAGCTGTTGTGGGGATCTCAGACCTTAAAGAAAGATATTGCAGATCCATGCTCTTGGGAACTGAAACCTCTACTCAGTTGATTTTCGCTGCAATCTTCTCATGCTTGTACTCTTCTAAAAGAAGAATTGTTTAGGCAGTATCAATGTTGGTGATCTTCTGTAGTCCAGAAATGTTCCTCTCTAATCCCACATGATTGACCCCTCTATATGTGTGAAGTACATACACCCCAGGACTGAGGTCTGGAATAGCAAATGAATTCTTTAAATATCCTGGCTAATGCACACAACTAAGTGTTACTTATTTTTACCTCACTTTCATTTCTGTAGCTCTTTGAAAATAAAACAGCCTTTGTTGGGGGGGGGGAAGGTGTGTGTGTGTTTTAAACTCATACTTGTCATTTAAATATTATTCATAGTTTTCATCTCATTTATCTGGGGCCCAGCAAGCTGCTTGGAGAGCTGGCTGTTAGCCTGTAACAATCTATTTCAGTTTCCCTTATTCAAGGAGATGGTTTTCCCTTTGTACGTCTGTTTCCAATAGGTTTCATTGAATTCCACTGCTCTGTGGAACGCTGAGGAGGAAACCTCACTGTAACACAGGCCTCCCTTGGTGGAGGCTCATAATTCTCTTTTCCTGAGTTGGCGACATTAGGAAGCCAGGGCCCGGTGACATTAGAGAGCCAGAAGTGCATTTGCAAGAGCAAGGGAAAGGTTGAACCATTAAGATGCTGGCAAGGATACAATCATGTGGCGGTCAGATGGCGACTTTTGTCGGATCTTCTCCAGCTTCTCTAGTTGCTTTATTTCATTGTTTCGATCCTTGTTGAACTTCTTAATCTCAGCCTGTTGAATGTAACAAAAGCTTATGTTTGCCATAAGGAATGAAAACAGTTCTGAATATCTGTTCCATCTGTGCTGGTCTCTGTAATCTCAGTTTTGAGTGGTGAGATCCCAGAGATACTGAAGGAAGGGACAGGACCTTGGTGGGCCAAGAGATGCAGAGGGCACCAGGTCAATCTCTAGTAAACCCAATGAAAAGAATCACAAAGGTGGTGGGAAGGGTCTTTACCTAGCCCCGAAGAACTAGTCCCAGTCAAAGAAAACTTCAGTGAATATGTGGACTGATGGATATTCACAGTACAGTGGTCCCAGATTTTTCTCTCTCTTTTACATATGGTGGTATAGAGAGAGAACTTTGACCTGTAGTCTAAATGATGTGTATTTTGTGTGCCCGCAAGTGTACAGTGCAAGTGCAAAAAATGTATATTGGGTGCAGAATTAAACATGTGAAAGATTTCAGCACTAATTTTCTTAAAATTCATGGTTTGTTCTGGTTGTCAGTGAATTGCCTTTTTAACGTTTAGCCTTGTTTAAAAAGTCCTTCCTTCTTTCCTTCCTCTCAATTGCTCCCCCACGGATATATAAGGATCCAAGCAACAGAATCATTCCATCTCTCTATACTTTGCCCTGACTGTGCACCCCTGACCACTGCACTGGTAGAGGAAGCAGTGCAAAGTAACTGGGAAGAAGATAAGGCTTAGCTCATTTTCCCAAGCCTGCCTCCTTCATTCCTCCTGTTTGCCTTTTGATTGCAGAGTAGGAACCTCCCTCCCTCTCCCTCTCTCTGAAATGCATAAGAGTCTGAACTCAAGAGTCGCTAAGTGCTGCGCTCTTTGGCTAAGAATGTTGTTCTTATGTGTCATTAAGTCAGAACCAACTTATAGGGACCCTAATAGGGTTTTCAAGATAAATTAGATATTTAAGGGGTGGTTTCACCAGCTCCACACCCCCAGTGAGTTTCCATGGGATCCGAACCCAGGTCTCCTGAGTCCTTGTCTGTCATTCTATCTATTTCAGCAAAATGGGTATACAAACAATAGGGACAAACTAAAGGGAGAGGCATTTGACCACTTCCTCCACCTGGACAAGCACAAATGGGATGCTTTTTAAAAAGATATGTCAAGCAGTGTGTTGCTCATTAGAGAGGAATACATGGGAAATATGTTAGGCAAAATGCAAAGAAACAAAACAAAAAGAGAGAGAGAAAAACCTGTGGCACCTTAAAGACTATTATAGGAGAGAGAGAAACCTGTGGCACCTTAAAGACTATTATATTTTAATGTGAGCTTTTGTAGACATGTCCACTTCTTCTGACATATGGAACCACAATGAAATGTCGAATGTAATATCAGTTTCATACTAAATATTTATTGGCTCTTGAATGTATGTTACATTTACATGCAGTAATTTATGGCTTCTGTTGTTTTAGAACTCTTTGTAAAAATTCCTCAGGAGACAAAAAAAAACAGACCCCAGGCCTGGACAAAGATGAGAGGGGAGAGAGAAGAGAGAGGGATGGGGTTGGGGGCTGAAGATTGGGGATTCACTTAAAAATCAAGATGGAGAGAGAAAGAGAATATCAAATATAAAGGTGAAAAAAGATGCCAGAGGAATCAAGTGTGTTAATGTAGGGAATACTGAAAGTTTTCACCTTTGAGCCTTGTGATGAGAAATGGGCTGGTAGGGAATACTGAAAGTTTTTACCTTTGAGCCTTGTGATGAGAGATGGGCTTGGTAGTTGTGAAGAAAATAACAGTGGCAGTAGATAATGGCAGAAGTATTACATTTGGTAATGACTTAAGAAACTTAGGCTTATATTCAGCTTATTTATATGGATGTTGATCGTGTATTTAAATTTCATCTTAGCTGTTTTCCTCTAAATTTTATATTTGTAATGATTCTCTTCTAAAACAGTAACTTCCAAATCTTCCACAGAGTGTCCTGGTAGATTGATATCTCCAGAAACAGGTTTCTGTGTGTTGTGGGTTTCCTCCCCTCATGCAGTGGAAGAGTGAGTGGAGGTCATGCTGATCAATGTAGTATTCTTTGACTGAGAAAGCCTGAGATTTCAAAGGCCTGTGCCAGAGTGAACAAGGCTTTGGGTGTTTCTGGCATTTCTCCCTTCATCCTTCTGACTTTTTAGCATCACTGGCAACAATGATGCTGGACGACATTCTCAAATAGCTCATCTGCTTTTCTACAGAAAGTAATCCATAACCCTTACCACTTCCGTAAGTCTACATCTCAGTTTAGAAAATCACTTTAATTCTGCTGTAAACTTAGTGGGTGCTCCTTCCTTTCTACCTACCTACCTAAACAGAAACCGATTGCTTACCTTGGTTTGTTTGATGAGTATACCTATTGCTTACCTTGGTTTGTTTGATGAGTATCCCATATACTTTCAGAGGCTCAATGACTTTTGCCTCCAGTCTCTCCACCTGAAGGAAAAAGCATGATCAGGCTGATAAAATGTGGGTTGTACATTAAAGCTGTGTTGGCAACAATGGTGCAAATTCAGAAACTGGACTGGAATTGTGCTTCAAGCAAATCACAAGGGACATGCTGCCATTAAGTCCATAATTTGCCATGTGCTATTCTGCACTTGAGGTTGCACAGTTAGCATTAGGCATCACAGCTTGTATCATGGTAAGTGCAGTGATGGCTCAGGATCTGAAATTTCCTTATATCAGCTGGTGGGGAAGGGCTATTGCTTCCCACAAACATGCATATGCTCAATATTGAAAACAGAGCATGCTTGGTGGCTTTGTTGTTGTTGCTATTCACAGTATTTTTCTGTTACTTGAAATTAATAAGATGGCAACTCAAGCCATCTGTGATCTTGATTTCAAAGGATATGTCTATTGAAGCAGTGTTTTCAAAGTCTAATTTTAATCTTGGCTATGATCTTCATATGGAACCTATATTCCCTTGCTCATGTGTACACTATGGATGTAAGTAGCTTTTTACCTCAGCTTGTCTGTAGTCCTGCACCTTAGCCAATTCCTCAGCAAAGTTCTTCACAGCAGTTCGTAACTCAGGATTCTCAGTATTTGCATAGTCCATGAGCTGCTTGACCAGCAGGTCTGACTTGTCCCGAAGTTTTGCAGTCTTGCGGGTATACCCAGCCATCAGACTGCAGAATTTGCCAAAGTATTTCTCTGCATTGGTGACTATATTGTCCATTATCTTCACATGGGTATCTCTACAACAAGACATAAAATGTGTTGTGTTGTTTTGTTTTGTTTTGCTGTATAGTATCCCTCCACCTCCTTTTTGTTAGTTGTGTTGGTGGTGGTGAGGTCAATCTCATTCCTCATTTACCTGCCCATCTATACAGATCATTGGATTCCCTTTTGCCAGGGTTTAGCCAGAGGTGACCCATGTTCTGGAGGAGGAGGCAGCTTACCCCACCATTTCAGGATCAACATGAGAAGACTGCCTCATCCTGTCATTTTGGGGTGAAGTAACCCACTACATGGACCACAATCCATCAGTGAGATTAGATGAGTGGTAACTAGAGAAAGGCCTTTCCCTGCCTTTTAGAAAGCTGTCTCCTTATTTGTCCCTTATTAGCTCACATTAACTGACAACTAGGTTGACAGCCGAAAGAGATTCATGGATATTACGAGGGCCAACATGGTACAGGCAGACATTGCCCAGCAGGATACTCTAAAATGGAGGACATGGTACACTTTCTAACAGAATGTCCTCTGTATGCAGATGTGAGGGACCAATGTCTAAAGCCTTTAACAGCTGAGACCAAGAACACTTCCCCTCTATGCATAGTCCTAGCCCTGCTAGCTGGCACAAACTACTATATATCCTATAGGGCTGCTAGATTTGTTAAACGGCCCATGGAAAGGTGAAACTTACTGCCTGCTTCTTAAGTTCTTCAAGTTAATCTTACACCTTGATTCTTTTTTTCTTTTTGAGAATGCTATTACATTTTATTACTATTATTTAATCATTTTGTGCCTTTTATGCTTGTTTGTATGTCCCAGCATGAAATGCCAAATACCATTTTATGATTCATTTAATCTGTGTTCTTAAGTATAGCCTAATGGGCTGGCTACAAAGCAATAAGGCATTCATATTCGTATTTGTAAAATAAATAAATAAACACTTAAACACATTACTTTTAAAAGGTGCTAGAATGGAGAAACCATGTCCTGAAACAGACCTTCTAGGACTGCAGGCTTTCTGCATTATGCAATTGCTGTCTCCAGAGCACAGGCTTGGCCCCCATCATTTCTGTTTGGCTTATAGTGATCAGAAGCCTCTGATTGGAACCTTTAGAGCAGCACTCATGTTATTGTGGAGGGTACTGTGAGGTTAATGAAACTTAGAAGCTCCAGCCCTGACTCTCTCCTGTTTTAGCCAAGTCATACCTATTGTTTAGTCTTCAAAAATAACTGTTTACAGGGAGGGGGGAATCAGTAAAGGTAAGTGCTCATCTAAGGTGGTCACTTAAAGGTAAAGGTTCCCCTTGACAATTTTCGTCCAGTCGTGTTCCACTCTAGGGGGCGGTGCTCATCCCCATTTCCAAGCCATAGAGCCAGCATTTTGTCCGAAGACAATCTTCCGTGGTCACATGACCAGTGTGACTTAGACACAGAACGCTGTTACCTTCCCCCCGAGGTGGTCCCTATTTATCTACTTGCATTTGCATGCTTTCGAACCACTAGGTTGGCGGGAGATGGGACAAGCGACGGGAGCTCACTCCGTTGCGTGGATTCGATCTTACGACTGCTGGTCTTCTGACCCTGCAGCACAGGCTTCTGCGGTTTAGCCCGCAGCGCCACCACGTCCCTCAGGGTGGTCACTTAGGCATCACCAAAAAAGGAGTGCAAAGGAGGAAAGTGATTTGCACAAACGTTCATACCATAGTACATAGGTACAAACTTTGCTAATTGCAAAATAAACAGCGATTTGTATAATTTAAACTTCCAAAGAGTTAGCCGTGATAGTCTGTCTCAGCATCTTGGCAAAATTAAATGGAGGAAAAGAAAAGAAGAGAGAAGGACAGCAAATCAAAATATTGCAGCATTTTAAAGATTTAACAGATTTGTTTCAGTGTGAGCTTTTGTGGATCAAAAGCTCACACTGAAATAAATCTGTTAGTCTTTAAAGTGCCCTCCCATTTTATCCATTATCATTGACTATATCATGCCATATTGCATAGCATTGATGCTGCTATGTACATAATGCAGAAAAATTGCAAAACAAAGAGACAAACAAAAAGAAACCAATCCCAAAAAAAGATCTTTCAGCTTTCTTGTCTGAATAGAAAGCTTAGCATCTCTGAAAACAAGCTTCAGTCTAATCTGAAAAAAGGGAATATTTCTAGGAAGAATAAACTAACTTATGTGAAGAGGATATAAGATTACAGTGGTAAAGGGGAGTTTGCAAGTGTCTTCACCACAATGTTACTGGAAAGTTCAGTATGTTTACTGTGTATTTAAAGTTTCAGCTTGATAGAGAAGACACCCTACCAAAACATGTTAATTATTTTCAATCTTGTATATATTTTTTCAACCCCATAATCTTTGACACGTTCCCCACCACCCCGTTCCTTTTGTTGCCTACCTGGAAAGGATGACATTCATGGTTACAGAAATCAGGGCCTTCAGGATATTTCCAGCAATAACAAGAAACAGGGTGCTGGTCAAACAGAAAAAGCAGCTGCACCTAACTCTACTCAGGTGCCACTCCAAGCTGGGTTGGTATGGTAACTCCTCCAACAAAGCCATTGCCCATGGGAAAGGAAAGAGGACTGGTAATGGTTGCCAAGGGTTACTGTCTCTTGGAACCTGGTTATTTCTGGATTCTAGCCAAAATTAGTATTTGTTTAGAGATACAGAGTATTTACAGTAGGTAAGCCAGTGTCAGGATAATCGGATTGGGCAGTTGTTTTGCTTCATCTCATTTTGCTTGTTTTTATTTGTTATAATTATGACTGATTTTGTTTAAGGCCACCTGACGTTTCAATATTTTTTTTTTCAGTTTAATGGAAATTGTGGAGATTGGCTCTTTATAATAGAGCACCCCAACTCAAGCTCAAACTAACTCGTGGCTCAGGGCTGGCTCTATGTAGCCCACTCCCACCTGCCTCCTTCCTTACTGGTGGCGGAGGCTATGTTCCTCTTCTGCTGAGTTCCCAACCACATCACCCTCTATATGTGTATGTGTGTGAGAGAAAGAGAGATGGGGAGGGACAGAGGAAGAAAACGGGGGAAGGAAAGCCCCCTTCCATCCTAGGTTACTCATTCAACAACAGGAGTTGCTGTGGTGTACATTTACAGTATATTCTCCCTTTCAAAGGAAGTGTGGCCTGCCCGGAAGAGAGAATTGTCCGTTTCTAATTGAAGCAAGACAAGTGTTCAGATCTTTCTGGAAGAGATACCTCTAATCTGTGAAGCCACCCACTAATTCCAGGTTCCTGGAAATCAGCTGTAGAGGGTGGAAAAGGCACTGTTTATGTTCTCTGAGCCTTATTTTCCTTCACCACTACCTGAGAAGAGGGAATAATGCAAAATGTAATTGTTGAATGACAAGACACTACTGTTCAGCAGATCTGTTTAAATGGTGTAGCTTTACGGTACTAAGTGTTAGTAGTGGACAGATAGGGATACTGTTATTTGGGCTTTGATTCCCCTTCAGACAGCAAAATACCTTGGGCTACCACTGCTGAAAGAACAACAGCTTTAGCACTGCTGGTGGCAGCTTTTGGAGAGGTTAGCTGTGAGAGAACTAGATACTACTCTGTATTCCGCTGCAGTCTGTTAAAGTTCTTTGCTTTATCTTTGTCTTTCCTGCATCTTTCACAAATACCATCCAAGCTCTGATTGGTATCCCCTCCCCTTTGAATGGACACAGAAATGCAATTGAAAGGAGAAATTCTGTTGCAGTGAAGGAAGAGTGATGCCCCTGGCAGCCCTGAATCAGTATACACTCATTGCATCGTTGCTACATTTTGCGACAGATATCCAAGGTTGGGAAACTATCCATGTTTCTCTCTAAATAAAAATCTTACCTGCCAAAATCCAAAGAAACAAGACAAAATAAAACGAAAAACGTGGCATCTTAAAGACTATCTTATTTTAATGTAAGCTTATGTGGACGCAACCACTTTGTCAGACATATGAAAACTGAAATCTCCCTTTGTTTTGTTTTGTTTGGGGCATAGAAATGTGGCATCTTAAAGACTATTTTATTTTAATGTAAGCTTATGTGGACGCATCCACTTTGTCAGACATATGGAAACTGAAATCTCCCCTCTTTGTTTTGTTTTGTTTGGGGCATAGAAAATCATTGCTTCCTCACAGAAATTAATGGATATTATACAGGGATTGGGTGTGTATTTTTACAGTAATTAATAATCTAATGCTATATTACAGATTTATAATATCAGCTTGGAGCATGACAAAAACCTGACCTGATTTTCGTATACTTTAGCTCAGTGGTTTAGGTATTGGATGTTGGGAGTTTGATTCCCCTCTGTGCCTCCTTCACAGGGACTGGACATGATGATCCATAGGATGATGATACTATTATTATAACAAGCAATTGAAATAATAAAGAGCTGCAACACTTTGGAGATGAACAGATATAGTTAGAGCTTTTATGTACGACAATTCATTTTTTTCAGATCCACCTCCACATTTCTTCAGATGCACATCTGAAGAAATAAGAAAAACAAAATGCAAAGTGTTGCAGCCCATTTAAGACAAACACACTTAGTATGAGAGCTACTTGGTGTGTCTGAAGAACTGGATTATGTCAGCAAATGACCACATACTAAAATGTAATTTTTGAGTCCTGAGGGTGCTGTAGTACTTTAGTTTTTCCTTTGTTTTTGTTGTCACTGAAGCAGATGAACATGTGTATCTCTCTGGAAACAGAATCCATGAAAGGTCATGCTGAAATAAATCTGTCAGTCTTATAAATATCCCAAGGCTCTTTCTTTCCTTCTTTTTTTATCCCCCTCTACTACTACTGCATGTCTCTTTTACTCTAAAGTCTTGGCCTTTTCTTTTCTTCTAGCCTTGTGGTGTTCTAAAGATAGGAGAAAGCTGGTGTGAGATGTTAAAGAGTATTCTTCTTTAAACAAAACAAAAACCACCCTCTCTCTCTCCTCTCTGTCCAGCTCTCCAAATGGGACAGGTCAGCAGGAAGTCTTGTTTTCATAGTGTTGCAGCTGGGCAGGCAGTTCCTGCCAGTGTGCCCCCCCCCAGGGTCTGTTGCAGGGACTGTCTGAGGATTAAAATCAGCATATACTCAAGTAAGATTATTTTTTAAGGGAATGGAGGTTCCCTCTGCATGCAATTATAACTTTGTTCTTTTTACACACAAAGGTGCAGGCTCGCGTCCCTAAGTGTGCTGCGAAGCATGCATACTTATGTGTCACCATTTGGAGAAGACAATGTTAAGATTATTCAGTATCTTTGGTAAAAGCTCTTTATGAATTGAGAAGACAGGGATGTACAGTAATTGCAAATTCATGGGCAGTACCCTCTTCCCAAAAGGAAATTTCTGCACTACCCAGACTCCTGCAAACTCAAACGGGTTATGAGTTATGTTCTTGTGCTGTACAGAGCAAGAATTTCTAAATTCATCAATAAATTGGTAGTTGGTTACAACGTACTTTTTTTTCTGAATGGGCCACTGAAGCAATCGGTTGTAAAGCATTTTTTAAAAGGCCATTATGGAAAGGAGTTGAAGCCCCAGCTGCATGTGAATTTTGAAGGTAAATACATAGTGCTTCTGAACTATGTATTTCTGACTCATAATTCTCCTATTTTTTCCTTCACTACTTCCTTGTTTTTTACCATGGAAATCCAAGAGAAAAAGATGGAATTGCTGCACAACATCTGTTTTTTTTTTCTTTGTAGTACTATGGATCTTAAGGAAAGATGGAATTGCTGCACAACATGTTTTTTTCTTTGTAGTACTATGGATCTTAACTTTTAGAAGTACTAAAAAGCATTTCTAGTGGTTGATCCATTATATCTGTTATTGTTGTTCTGTACCATCAAGTTGGAATTGACTTATAGCAACCTGAATAGGGCTTTCAAGGTAAGTGAGATATTTAGGTAGTGGTTTTACCAGTTCCACTCCTCTGGTGAATTTCTATGACTGAATGGAAGATTCAAACCCAGGCTTACTCAGTCCTATTCCATCACTCTATCCACTTTATACACTCTGCTAGATATGAGATCTATTATACATGTGTTACATTAGATTAGATTAGGCATTTTTCAGTCTCGAGAGACTATGGTAAGGTGCTCTGCATGGAGGACTTGGAACAGCATCTAGTGTGGCTGAGGAGGCCAATTCAAGAGTGACCATCCCTTCCACACTGAAGACAAATACAGTCTGTCCGCTGTCCAGCTCCCTGATTTGGCTGGTTTCATGACTGCCTCTTTGCCTCAGCCTGCTGGACAAGGGTCTCTTCAAAATGGGAGAGGCCATGATGGACCGCCTGCCGTCAGGCTGAACGCTCAGATGTCAAGGTTTCCCATCTGTTGAGGTCCATTCCTAAGGCTTTCAAATCCCGCTTGTAGATATCTTTGTATCGCAGCTCTGGTCTCCCTCTGGGGCACTTTCCTTGCACTAATTCTCCATACAGGAGATATTTTGGAATCTGACCATCAGCCATTCTCATGACGTGCCCAAGCCAACATAGACGTCGCTATTTCAGTAATGTATACATGCTAAAAATTCCAGTTCATTGTAGGACTACTCTGTTTGGAACTTTATCCTGCCAGGTGATACCAAAAATGTGTCAGAGATAACACATATGGAACGTGTTCAGCTTCCTCTCCCGCCGTGCACAAAGGGTCAAAGACTAACTGCAGTACAGGAGTGTACTCAGGACATAGGCTCTATAGACCTGGATCTTGGTATATGCCATTAGCTTCTTATTAAGTCATACTCTCTTTTTTGAGCCTACACGTGTATACATGTGTAAGTCTGTTGTTTAACTGCAGTACAGGAGTGTACTCAGGACATAGGCTCTATAGAGCTGTATCTTGGTATATGCCATTAGCTTCTTAATTCATACTCTTTTTTTGAGCCTACACGTGTATACATGTGTAAGTCTGTTGTTTTTATGTGTAATGAAAGTGTTATCACATATAGAACCTGGTACCTTTTAGATGTCTGGACTTTCAGCTTCCATAAGAAACAAACCAGCATGTCCATTGTTCGCAGATGATGAAACTGTAGTTCAGAGCCTCTAGAGCAGTGGTTCCCAACCTTGGATCCCTAGATGTTCTTAGACTAAAACTCCTAGAAGACTTCAACCACTAGCTGTGCTGGCCAGGATTTCTGGGAGTTGTAGTCCAATAACATTTGGGATCCCAAGATAGGGACCCACTGCTCTAGAAGATACCAGAAGGTCTGAAATGGAAACATGAGTAGTGTTAGGTAAATGTATTCTATCAAAAGAATAGAAACATCTCAACTGTGTTATCAGAATATATAGAGGTATACAGCCATGAGAGGGCAACCAAGAGCTTCAGGATAATCTTTCCTAAGCAATGTCTAGGCTTGTTGAAAAGCAGCAATATAAGAGGTCTCAACTGATTTATACTTTAGATAGGTTATACTAGACTATAACACAGAATAAAAAGAATTCTGCATAATAAAAAGATTTTTGATAATCTATCTTGCACAGATAACATTTATATAAATAACTGCTACTACTT